CCGTGGTTTTTTTTATTTTCCTTTTACTTCAGAAAAGTCTTGATTTGGAATTACTGTCGCATCGCGGTGATGTTCTTCTGTAACTTGTGCTGCTGCTTTGGGTTATCATCATCTAAAGGAAGAGCGTCTCTCTCTCTGTGCATTTTGGTTTTTTTATTACAGGAGGATCGGGATAACATATTACGGGCTAGGAAATCTGGCAAGGGTGTCCTGACTGCTCCTTTCAAGCTACTGAATAATCGCCTCGGAGTGATCTTGACGTACACTGTTTATAAGTATGAGCTCCCTGCATATGCCAGGCCACATGAACGCATCCAAGCCGCGATTGGGTAAGGTTTTTAAGTGAGGCCGTGATAGCTGCTATTTCAATGAGAATCATAAACTGATCCCTCCTTTTTGTTCTTTCATGTGCAAACAGCTATTTGGGCGGCATATTTGACATACAAGCACTCGTCGAGAAGTTGCTCAAACAACTCGCGAGCCAGGAATCCATCATGGTGAATGTGTATGATACGACCAACGAGAGCCCGATCAGTATGTACGGTGATGATACTGGGAGTGGCATGTGCCATGTCAGCGTGCTCAACTTTGGTGATCCGTCGAGAAAGCATGAGATGCATTGCAGGTGATTGATTTGTTGCTCCCCCCTTTTATGCGCCCTAATATCGGAAAGTATCCAAACATAATGTTCATGTGATACGTGCGTTGAACTCATCGTGCATGTGATCTGTTTTATCTTTTATCAGGTTTGAAAAAAAGCCACCATGGCCATGGCTGGCAATAACGTCATCGTTTGGAACTCTTGTGATTGCTTTACTGACTGGTCACATATTTCAAGCTACTGTCCATCGGATTGCTAAAGTTGAAGATGATTTCCACAAGATGAGCGAACTCAAGAAGCGTGCAGAAGATGCAGACGTCGCAAAGTCACAGGTTTTTAGTCTTACATCTCACTTCCTTCTGCTTGCACACATCCTTCTGAGTTAGGATAGACATCTCACTTCATACGTTCTTTTCCGCTTGCAGTTCTTGGCTACTGTTTCACATGAGATCAGAACTCCAATGAATGGTGTTCTAGGTTAGTCCACTGCCTTCGTTTCAAAATAATTGTTGTTTTAGGCTTTGGCATCAACTCTAACTTACTTCTATGAGCATTAATATTTTGGTTTCGCCTTGATGACGGATGTAATTACTTCTATGTGTATTAATTGTCGAGGCTTCTTTTACCAGAATAATCCTAAAATAACATATACTTTTAAATTTTGAAATGGAGGTACTAAAGCATCTTACTAATTGTTATTTTGAGTGCATGGATTCGAATGACTCCCTTCCTTTTCAGGGATGCTCCAAATGCTCATGGATACTGATTTGGACACGACGCAGCAGGACTATGTTAGAACTGCCCAAGCTAGTGGAAAAGCTTTGGTCTCTCTCATCAATGAGGTTCTTGATCAGGCAAAGATTGAGTCTGGTAAACTTGAGCTCGAGACGGTGCCCTTTGATCTTAGAACAGTTTGTGACGACATTTTATCTCTGTTTTGTGGGAAAGCTCAGGAGAAAGGACTGGAGGTAATTAAGAGTATAGTTATGCAGTGCAGTTTGGTTGATTTTTTTTTACAACTCACTAACTTTGTCTCTGCTATTGTTTGTTTTTCCACTGTGATGCTCTACTGGAGCAGTTAGCAGTGTATGTCTCGGATCAAGTTCCACAGATACTTATTGGCGATCCTGGCAGGATAAGACAAATCATTACGAATCTTGTCGGGAACTCCATAAAGGTAAGAAAATCGGTACAATGGACAGCACAAATGGATCTCTTCTATGCATTTGTTTGTTGTCTGACAGCATTTTCTTTCTTTAAAACAGTTCACAGAGAGAGGGCATATATACCTGACAGTTCATGTAGTTGAAGAGGTCATGAGTTGTTTGGAGGTAGAGACAGGAATTCAGAACACAAACACTTTAAGTGGCTATCCAGTAGCCAACAGAAGATGTAGCTGGGAGAGCATTCGGCTTTTCAACAGAGAATTACACTCATCTGAGAAGTCTTTTGCGCCCATCGCATCTGATTCAATAAGCTTGGTTATATCTGTTGAAGATACTGGCGTCGGCATCCCATTTGAAGCCCAATCCCGTGTGTTCACCCCTTTCATGCAGGTAGGTCCATCCATTGCCCGCATCCATGGGGGCACTGGCATTGGATTAAGCATCAGCAAGTGCTTGGTTGGTCTCATGAAGGGAGAAATCGGTTTTGCAAGTAAGCCCCATGTTGGTTCTACTTTCACCTTCACCGCGGTGCTTATGAGGGCACACTGCAAAGGAAATGACATCAAATCATCAGAATTTAAAGGGATCAATGCATTGGTTGTTGATCATAGGCCAGTCCGTGCAAAGGTTACCAAGTATCACTTGCAAAGACTTGGAGTTAAGACCGAACTGACAGCTGAGCTAAATCAGTTCATTTCTAAATTAAACTCTGGATCACTGACTGCAAAGCTAGTGCTAATAGACAAGGAAACCTGGCTTAAGGAATCCCATTGCACGCCTCTTCTGGTTAACAAATTGAGGAATAATGACAAGCCAGACTCTCCTAAGTTATTTCTTTTGGGGAGCTCTGCAAGTTCTCCCAAGGGCGGTTCAGATACATCCAGGGAACATAACTTGAATGTAATAATGAAGCCGCTTCGTGCAAGCATGCTTCAGGTCTCACTACGACGAGCACTAGGTGGGGTCGATAAGGTGCACTGCAGGAATGGAGTAGTTGGCAATTCAACATTGGGCAGCCTTCTTCACAAGAAGCAAATCATTGTTGTCGACGACAATATCGTTAACCTGAAGGTGGCTGCTGGTGCTCTTAAGAAGTATGGTGCCGAAGTTACTTGTGCAGACAGCGGGAAAAAAGCAATCACATTGCTAAAACCCCCGCACAATTTTGATGCTTGTTTCATGGACATACAGATGCCAGAAATGGATGGGTAAGTCTTTTCTGACACTGCTTGTGTTTTGCAGTATTGTTTATACTAATTTGGCATTTCTCTTGTGCACGTATGTATCATCTAATGGTTACCTTTTTTCAGGTTTGAAGCCACTAGAAGGATTAGAGTGATGGAAAGAGATCTAAATGAGCGAATAGAACGCGGAGAGGCGCCACCAGAATGTGCTAGTATTCAGAGGTGGCGAACTCCTATATTGGCGATGACGGCAGATGTTATACAGGCAACACACGAGGAGTGCCTGAAAAGCGAAATGGATGGCTATGTCTCCAAGCCATTTGAAGGGGAGCAGCTGTACAGCGAAGTAGCGCGGTTTTTCCAAAATCATGACCAAGTTGAATAGGAAGGTTTATATGGAATGTAAATTGGTGGAGGATGTTGCCACGCACCGATCACATGCCATGGCACAGAATTTTGTCCAAGATGCTGTGTTCCCAAGAGTAAGCTCTTCTCTGATTACTTATGTTTACCACATCTATCTGTTCTCTTCATGGAAATACTAAATTTGTCTCTAATATCTGATTTTGCTTGGTTCACTTGGCGGTAAAATAAAAATAAGGTGGCAACAACTGTTGGTCCATATCTTGTATACTCTGTTCATTCAGTTTCTAGGCATCTGCTAGATAGGAGGGCATGAAATACGAAAATCTGTCCAAGTTGGATTTATTTGAGATATAAAACTGTCTTTAGGTGCATCATTAGGACACAATTCGATGCTATTCATTTAAGGCACACAACAATTCTCCTCGCCAATTAAAGAAGGGACAATAGTGCTGCTAGACCATTGCTAAGGCCTAGAAAGCTTAAATTTATCTTAGCCACCCTCTTTTTGCTGAAGTTTGTTGGTAGTGGTTCTAAAGAAGTATGATGCTTTCTTAAAGCAAACTCTGATGTTGAGATCTTTAAGATCATTATTATAACTTAATGGGATCGTCCAGGACTAATTCTATGATTTTTCCTTATTATTCAGGAATGAAGCACAAAAGGTGTCGAGATGGAACCGCCCATGTTCTGATCTGTAGTACACCATCTGACCTAGAGGCAAAATTAACTGCGCAATTACATGAGAACAAGATACATGTGCAGCAAAGGTACTCAAACAATTTCTTGAAGTCAAGGCGTGTGAAAATGGCAGCTGCATATTCACTAACTGCAGAAGAAGCAGAAGTCGTTCTCGTAGATGCCCTCTGCCTTTGTAATATAAACGTAGGGAGAGAAAATTTTTCCTGTCTTCTTTTTTTTTCCTCGGGAATTTTACGGTGTACATATTAGGTGTTGGTGATATGTGCAGGCAATTCCTTGGTATATTTGGATGTGTTTTTTTTTTCTGCAAGGTTTGTGGAAGCTGTAAATGACACAATTCAAAGGTGAAGCCTTTGGTTTCTTCCATTGACATTTTTGACAAGAATATTGATGCCGTCGGCTCTCGGCTGTTCTTTTGCATGTCCTTATCGCCCTGAAGTTTCTAATTAACTTTCTCCTAATCTCTTATGTAACACCTATCATTATTCCACTGAATGCTGCCTGATGTTCTGGTTTTTTGTGATGTCTTTGTCTGATGAAATGGTTCTTGATGATGTAGTGGATTTGTTTTAATATGTGGCCCGGAGCATTGCGTTGGTACCTAACTGCTGCATTATGTTTTATCATCTCCAAATTGTCCAAAAGTGACGCACTTTCTTGGGGCTAAACTAATGCTAGTGGTTGCAATGGTCTAATCTTTGTTTCTGCCTTGGCATTTCAGTCGTTTTGTGCTTGTCCAGTGCTTACACCATTGGTTCACACCTGCCTAATTTGTTTATGATCCTATGGACAATTACTTATGGCATCCATTTTGTTGTATCCAATGCAATTGGAAGAACCAAATGGATCATCAGAGGCTGAAATAAGCTGCTGGATTGGTACTGCTTTAATTAATGAGGCTACAGGACTACATCAGCATCATATTCTCTTGTGCTTTGATTGGTCTGCATACTGGATCAAACATTAAAGGAGTTCATCCTTCCATGTGCAAAAGATCGGGTACTCTCATTCGCAATAAGCTTCACTTTAAAGATTCACCACACATTCATTACCATATACACAAGGGTAACAAATGCAAAGAGGGTACACCTTTTCTGAATATTGGCCAAGAGTCAGCTTTGCACATGATTTTTCTTATGTACAAAAGGTAAAACACATTTTTTCAGAGCAAGGGCAAGAAGAACCAGTGATGGTACTGGATCATCGATAAATTCCTCTGGTTTTTCAGGATTCGCTGCACAGTGAATCGCCAAGGATTTACTGTTCTTCATAAGGCCAACTGCTCGTCAGATCATTTAACAAGGTCGGACATGGCAATACTGGCCAGCTAGTGCATTGCTTTGTTGTTGTGGCTTAGCCAACACATGTGATGACTGCCACTGCCATAAACATGAGATGCTGGAGAAACTTCTACTTTTTCATCATCATCCTGTGATTGGAAAAAGGAACATTTCAGTCCTACTTTTCATCATCATCCTGTGATTGGAATAAGGAACATTTCAGTGAGCCAACGTTGAAATTTTGTGTACATTTTACTTGCACGAAATGTTTTCCGTAGAGCGAGGTTTTGCTATAGAACCAAGTATGTTAATTCAAACTTTAATTGAATCATATTGAATGGTTTGCAAGGTTTGTAATCTCACCTTGTTTTGTTTGTGCATTTTGAGCATCCTTCGGTATTGCTGTCTCGCGACAGGACTGTCGATGATCGATGATACCCTTGAAACAGCTTTGTTGAGAGCTGTTTCCACTCTTTGCTTCCGGAAAACCTTGGCTACGTCATCTTCGTCCTCTTCATCGATTGGCATTGCTATTGCCCCAGGGTGGAATCCTCGTAAACCAACACCCTTTCGGTACCATCTAAGCATGACCTTCTCAAGGATGCCCACACTTCGAAGTAACTCCTTGTACTTGTTATGTTGTTGATGAGCTCTGACACGCGCCTATCATAAAAGAGGGAGTACTATATCAGCTGTACAAAACCTTCAAAAGACTTCAAACAAATAATGCAACAGAATACATTCTAGCTATTTCTGCAAATGTTACTCACCTGTATCTTGATGACATTTTTGCGTATTTTCAGAAATTCTTTGCGTTTCTTCCAGCACCTGAAGTTCTTCTGGATAGATAACGCGGCTTTCTCAAGCATACCGTGTGAAGCAGCACCTACCTCACGAATGGATATAATGTGGTTACCTCTATTCTGAAGACCTGCTTGTTGTTTCTTCCTGAAGGAAAAAATACGGAAGGCAGTTTGTATGCGCCCGGCAGCTTGAACAGCATATCGCATAGCTCCTAGGGATTCCTTCAGTGCAAGCTGATCATCGCTACCACTTTGTGCATGGGCAGATGTGTCTGATATTCTGCCCACAACTCTTGATATTTGATCTCCAGAAGACCCGTTTTCTTTTGATTCGAGAGAATGAAGATGAGCTATTAGTTCTGCTTCTGAAAGATACGCAGAAAGGCCCTTGAAACCATATGCAGAAGCTACTGAAGCAGGTGTTTTGGCAGCAGGATCTTGTGCTGTTGGGTCTGACAGTGCACCAGCTGCGGCACCTGCATCAAGAAGGAGCACTACCGTCTCTTCCCTGTTGGTTTTTTATCATGAACAAGACAGGAGAAAATCAGATTAGCAGAAGTTGGCACAAGGAGTCAACTTCTCCAAATTATGCTAGGGTTTACATTTAGCATACAAAGCTTCAAATACCTGCCAAATCGTGCAGCCCAATGTAAAGCAGTCCATCCATTTGCATCACGGTAGTTTACAAGTACACCTGAATTAAGCAGAAGTTTCAAAGCCCAGTTGTACCCCAAGGCAGCAATTGTATGTATAACACCATGGTATTGCCTAGGGAGAAAATGATTCCCTTCACTATTTTGTTCATATTTAGAAAACAGCCACTCTTCAAACTTGTTGTTAAGCAGTACTTCCATGACACAATTTACTGCGGTGTCACGGTTCAGCCGCTCAGATGCCCCCTTCATAATTTCAGATGGGCTAACTTGGAGTCCGCATTCAAGATTTGGGAATGGCAAGCCAAACTTTAAAAATTGCTCAGAAACATGACCATCGAAAAGCAACTGAGCATAGTTAAAAAGCAACAATAGCTCATTGTTGCTTTCAGTAGGCCTCTGATGGAGTTCAGATTCATGTACTTCTCTGCAGGGTTTCCTGTTCTCACAAACCACACTTTTGGTAGGCTTATTATGGAATTCGAATTGTCGTGCTTCACTGCAGGCTTTCTCATTTTCATCAATCAAGTACATTGTCACTTTTCTAGCATCAAGGCATGGAGTATGGCAACGAATGACACCTTGCTGAACAATTTCTGCATGTACCTTAACATCGCCAAATACTATTGCCCATGAACCATGAGAGGGATCACGAAGGAAGTCTCCTGCAATGATAACCTGCATTACATTTTTTATAGATCTCCAATTAATTTCTGTAGCCTGCAATACCACTGGCAGATTGTCTCAAAACAAGATTAACCAAATGGACAAGACTTCTGTCATTGTGGCAATATATGAACTCGAATTTCATGAATGCTCATAATGTATATATAGTCTTAAATGCCACATGAAGAAGGTAAGATGCATAGCTTAATCTAGAATGTTAATGTCTACCATCATATGGTACCTTTGTACTTTCAGAACAATAGGACCATTCTGGGGAAACCTCACGAATATTGAACCATTGGTTTTCAGTCACTATCATAGATGCTGAATGCAGAATTGCTTCAATCTGATCCTCCTCCAACCAAGTGTCTAAGCAAGAAGACATTCATGCAAAAAATTACATATTTAGATAGATGACCACTGTATCTAAAATAGTAATTGTCAATGGAAGAATTGGAATGAGCGGCATTATTGCACCTGAATTTTTCAGCACATCAATAGTGCTGGAAAAAGGGAGTCCGGTTTCTTCAGGATGATTTTCTTTGCTGAACTCCAGTCCACTAAAAACATCTGCAAGATTTCTACAAGTGCCTGGTTCTTCATTCTGAATCCCATACACAGTGATAGGTTCACTGTTTGATGGAATATCTTTGGCATCGACATCATGATCTTCCCTATCTTCCAGACTCAGCTGCACCTTAAGTTTTCGCAGCGCTGCCTGATTACAATGTTGAACCCAATCAGGTTGACTAACGCTATTTGTTTCGTTGTTTATGGCCATAATCTGGGAACTAACTTCTTCCGCAGATCCTGGACTGCATGAATTAAGACATGGGGCAAATAGCTCGCTAGTCAATCCGGGTGAACTTTGAGCCTCAGCTCTGCTACCACTGCCATTCTGATTGGATGTTGATGAATCATTCAGTGCTGATACTGAAATGCTGCCCTGATAAGCAATCAACAAATAAAGGTGTGGCCCATGAGATGCCAAAATTTAATTGGGGTGCCTCCAATCACAACAACAACATTACATGTGCTAGCCTGGTATGCGACTAATTGAGTTAATTGGTGAGAGAGTACACACTGTCAAATTCAAATCATAGGTGCTTGGTGCTGGTGATTAAATAATCTGATATGTTCAAAGATATATCCAAGTCCAGTTTTGGCCTGTCAAATTGCTGACAGCTGAAGTGGATACATATCTGTGCCTAGTAAAGCGAAGTAATTGGTGATCCACCATGAATTGCAGATGCACATTAATAAAAGGAATGCAAAACAAGGAGGCTGACCTCTTGAACATCTCTGTAGTGGACAAAAACTATGTGATCATAAGCCCTGCAAAGACAAATTGCTCATTATGGTGTAAGTTCAGCCTGGCGAAAAATTATGGTGTAAGTTGGTTTAAGTATTATCCAACAGTATTTAATAAAACAAAAATGTCATAGAACATAACGAACAGCAGAAATATTTTTTCATTTTTGTTAGAACTCATCGTTTAGGACAAGGAACAAGACCAACAGTGTATCAAATTCATTAGTTTAGGAAATGCAGCGCCAGGAATGGAACGCAAAGATGATTTCTTACAGCATTTTGCAACATCAGAAAATGTCTACAATCCTTGCAGAATACTGAATAGTACAAATTATAATATATCTAGAAGAAAATGTTTTTTTAGAGAATCCATAGGAAAGGGTGCAGTCTCTCAAGAATGTGATTCAAGTAACACAAATACATGGAGATCTCAACATAGATAGCTTGTAAACAAGACTTGCTCCAAAAAAAAAAAAGCGCTATGCGTAGCGTGATATAAGTTCCTCCATGAGTAACATGCGCATGGCCAACAAATTTTTGTTATTGGTTGTGCTCTAAGAAAAAAACAGCTATATTTTACAAAAAGTATGGAACATGACAGAATTCCATGTAAAACCTTTGAAAATTGTAAAAGGATGGCATAGTATGTATAAAATACTTTCTTGCGCAAGTAAAAATAGTTCTTACGGATCAAGCATCCAATATATACGCCTCTGAAATGTAGAGTTTTTGTCTGCGTGTGCATAGTAGCAATTCAGTGCATCAACATTATCAACCTGAAATTTCCAGTGTTAAATGAGAAAAACATATTAATTATATGCCATAATGCTGATTGCCGGTTGCTATCCACTTTATCTGGTTCAGTCCTAACAGCAACAGTCATAATAGACATTGACCTATTGTCTTGCCACAGAGACGATCCCTTTGACTTTGAGCATACTATGAATTAGAAACATTTTTTTTTCTTTTGACTACTTGTTGGCTTAAATACCAATTTGATTACTTCAGAAAAATCTTTTACCTACATCATAACATGACTGACTGTTCAACAAAACATGAGTGTGCAAAGCAAACCTTAAGGCGCTCATGGGCTTCAGCAATAGTCTTCCCATTCTTCTTTTTTCGCCATTCATACCCATCATTTCTGAAGTACCGAAGAACTCTACGGTTGAAAAGAAACCAAGCACCACCTGCAGTTCCAGAATCGACTCGGTAAAGGGGTATTCAGGGCTAAAACGAAGTAAGTGCAAGCTTGAAACAAGTATCTCAGAAGCTAAACCCAAAGAACTTTATTACTCGGTGGCTTATGAGGAGTCTTATGTGTGATGATGAACCGATCATGATTCTGCAATATCTGCAGAACCTCTTTAGGCTTTAACCACCGCGATTTTACTTCCTGGTGTAGCCTGTGTGTATCAAATCCTGAGAAGGTAAAACAAAGAGCAACAATCTTTACTACTCGGAGATATCGAAGGCATTCACAGCATATGACAATGACTCAAGGATCATAATATAAAGCATTCACTGAATCATCGACCATACCCAAAAAAAAACAAACATTAAATATGAACTGATTGCCTATGCAGCACCAATAAATTGATGCACCTACAACTACTCTACAGCGACTGAGTACCTAACAAGAAATTCACGGTCATCTCCCGCAATAGAAATCAAGCAATTTGACGAATTTCATCGACCTTAAACCCCCTGTCCTCCCCCTTTCCAAGTCTCCCCTTGAATCAAATCGTTCATTCAACAGTAATCGCACTAACTTGTAAGAACATGAACTACGAAAGCAGCAGTACATTCCAAACTAATAGTCCTAACAATTTACCAAGAAAATATGGACCACTTGCGCCTTCTTGATTTCCCCCAAACCCTAACCCACCAGCCCGGTTACTCAGAACCAAACTTAGCTGCAAGAATCACATATAAGCAACGAAAGATTGCAAGTATGGATCGAGGCACCCAAGAACCAGCCCTTACCTTGCTGGTGCTGCATCTCGCTCGCCCGGTTAGCTCGCTCCCCGGAAGAACGGATCCAAATAAGCAAGAACCCGTGCGACTATCGCTGTCAATGGCCGAGTCGCCGAATGGTGAGTCGCTGACGATTGATCCAAAGCGGCGGGGGAGAGACATCGAGCTTGGAGTGACGAACGCGTGTGGGGAAAGTGAGTGGCATTTTCGTCAGAGAACCACAGCGACACAGTAGAGAGCAGTTAGTTGAACTTCTTTTTTAGTACTAGTACTAAATACACACAATTTTTTAGTACTAATTTAAGCCGACATCATTAGTAGAAAATACTCACACATGTTCCTCTCATAACAATAAAATAGTGGAGTAAAGCAGAACAATAATGTATAGCGGATGCAGAGTGCTCCAAGCCAAAAAGGGCAGTGTTGATGGTAAAGCAGATGCTTTAATAAACGGGACATTAACTTTATACTACTTCTAATATGTACAATTAATTATTTGTCACTCACTGTCTATAACACATAGGACCTCACGTGTCTATAATACATAGGTCCAGTGGTAAATAATTTATCATCACTTATAAGAGTGGTAAATAGTTAATTATTTCTCAATAAACTTCTAAGTGTGTACTCGATTAGGATACGACCATTCTCTATCTGAGAAGGGAGGAAGAGCATGTGTGTTTCCTGCACTCCTCCTGCTATAAATTAATTATATTATTGGGAAAATTTGAACCATACCATTATAATTTTACAAAATTTAAGATATACCATCCTGACCCACATGTCATTGACTTATGTGGGTCCTACATATTATTGAGATACCGATGGTATATCTCAAACTTTGCAAAATTGTTGCAGTTCTTTTGAGCCAAGTAATGAAATGCAGTTTATATAAACCATGATAGTGTATACCATCTCTTAATTGTAATATATACTTATAAGAGTTCTCGTATAAAAATGTAAGGCTTATTTTTAAGGCTACCTGTGATGCGTATGTTTTTTTTAATTACTATTTTATGGCTTGTTTGACAAATGGATTACGAGAGGTAGGATTAGAAAATAATAGAAACGAATAGATGGTTAGGATTAAATGAGGTGAAATGAATATATGGCTAGCATTAAATCTTGCCCTTATGTAGTTAGGATATCTTTCCTCAAACTCATTTGCCAACAAACATTCAATACCCCTACTTTTTATAGGTTACAAATATATGCGAGCATTGAAACATTAATTATTGGTATGTTAGTAATACCTATATGCCTTACATTTTTATATAAACAATTTTGATTCAGGTACTGAGGTCTTGTTTAATTGGGAAAAAATTTTAGGTTTGGTCGTTGTAACGTCCCGGCCTAGGGCTTAATAGAATTAATAGAATACTCATATCAAGTTGCAACTTCTTTTCCGGAAGCCAATCTCCAAAGAACTCCAGGGTTAAGCGTGCTTGGCCTGGAGCAATTTGGGATGGATGACCGACCGGGAAATTCTTCCCGGGAGCACACGAGTGAGGACAAAGTGTGCAGAAAAGACATGTGTTGGTCTGTGAGGGCAGTCTATGACCTATGAAAGCTATCAGATGTAAGTGGGCCCGGCCCGGCCTGGGGGAAGGCGGGGGACGTTACAGTCGTCACATCAGATATACGGACACACATTAAAAGTATACTCCCTCCATCCACAAAAGTTACACATATTACTTTTGACACCAAGACTAAAAAGAAATTAAATCACCTTGGATGTTACAAAATCAAGGAGTAAATGCAAGCATGCAACCAATGAGTATTTAGATGACTTCTTGGATTCTAATAAAACATTTAATTTATCTCTTCATTCAAGTCTTGAACGTATAAAGACTACAAATAGGAACAACTTATTTGGAAAAACTCAAATGTGAAATAGGTGTAACTTTTGTGGATGGAGGGAGTATTAAACGTAGTCTAATAACAAAACAAATTACATATTCCACCAGAAAACTGCGAGACAGATTTATTAAGCCTAATTAATCCGTCATTAGCAAATATTTACTGTAGCACCATATTGTCAAATCATGGTACAATTAGGCTTAAAAGATTCGTCTCGCAATTTATACGCAAACTGTGTAGTTGGTTTTTTTTCCATATTTAATACTCCATACATATGTCTAAACATTCGATATGATGGGTTAAAAGTTTTTATTTTGGGAACTAAACAAGGCCTGAAAACATAGTCGAGCAAGCACAAGTTCACACATGTCATGATGTTGTGGTTCCACATGCACGTGTGAGCGCCCTCCCTGACAAGGCATCATCGGAAGAATTTCTAGCCGTACTCACTCTTTTCAATAATTTAGCCCTTGAAAAGGACTAGCCTTTTGTTTTTGCCTCCTTTAATTTGTTACGTATATTAAGTGTAACCTACCACATCCTTTGGATTCATTTGGACAAAAAGAGGGGGCACTAGAATCATATCCATTCAAAAAAAACATAATATTTTTGGGACAATCTAATTTGAACTTGTATTTGGTGCTGTTTGACGCTGTCGGTGTGTGAGTGATGGTATACTTTTTTTCATTTTCCTGGTTATAGTGTCATAGGGTTGTAATCTTTTTTTTATGCTCTATCCATATAAGCTTCGTAAAAAAAAGAAGAGGATTTTCGTGTTTCTTATACTGATATATTTTCTAGAACTTCTTAAGAAACTAAAACATATGTTGATTATGTTCCACGAGAAAAACAATTGGTTATACAACTACGCGCGTTTTTTTTCTTCGAACAAACTGGCTAATGAATCTTCATAAGCTTTTACTGGCATCTCTCTCTCTCTCTCTCTCTATCTGTCTCTAGCGAATATTGGTATCAGGCAGTTAATGACCATGCATCATCGTCCTCGTTGTTGTCGTTGTCACAGTGTCTGAACTTCAGAGTTGCAGTGGTCCAGCAATAATAAATCCATGATGACCAAAAAAAACTGGAGCTTTGCAGCATATTCATTCTGCTACAAACAAAAATTATGAAAATTCAAAGCAGACCAGCAGTAATGCTTGACAGCCTCTGTCTGAATCCGTGAATCGTACTACGGAGTAGAACACGAGCTATTCCAATTCAAACGGTTCTTATATGATCAGTGCTCGCTCAGGACTGTAAAAATACTCCGATCGATTGGTTTTCAGAACTTCAGAAGGCAGCCATCTCGGTGCTGAATTACCAAGCAGGTTACATTACTCCTAGTACTAATTAACTTTGCATGCCTCTGAAGTCTGAAGCAGATTAATTTTACTGTTAATTACCAGCTTCGTTTTTGTCTTCCAGTATGGTACGGTATTAACTTTGTTTTGTCTTCGTTTTGCAGATTAACTTTGCATGCCTCTGAGGCCATTCCCAACCCAATAACTAGGATGATGTCTATAGCATTAAATAAACTGCTGCCACCTAGAATAAAAAACGATGTGGCAAGTGAATAAATGAGGAATGAGAAGGAAACCATGTCTTACATGAGACATGGTTTCTACACAATATCCAAGATATCATGTGAGATAAGTAGTATTAAATTTAAGTATGGAATAATGGTGTTTGTATTGAAAGAGTATTGTCTAGTACTAGTTTCTTGATGATGTGAAGTTTATAGAAATTATGTCTATTACTCTAGTGTCTTGGGTTGGGAATGGCCTAAAGCAGATTAACTTTGCATGCCTCTGAAGCCGATTAACTTTGCATGCCTCTGCGCTGCTTACAATTACAGGTCAGCAGCTATAAGTTGGTACACTTGACTAGGATCAATCATGCATATATAATCAAACAGTGAGAGACCACAAGATACACATATGTATAGTAATGGTAGTACGGTTGGTAGGAGGACAGATTAAAAACCTAGTACTCCTACCTGTAAAGTGTATCAGTATATATATACAATGTCGGAGCCAAAAATTACTAAAGCCCACGGTTAAAATAGTAGAGTGTTGGTTTTCCATAAAAATTACATGGTGTTTTAACAAAATTTAAACATGATTTTAGAGGCAAAGCCTACAGCGATAAAGCCACCGCCAACTACCACGGTCAGCTGCCCGGGCTCATTGTCAAACGTTCTCACTGTACCTGTAGTTGTTGAAAGGTTGACCATAGAAATTTTAGCTGTTGAGTTTTCTCCGGGCTTAAAAATCTTTCTGGCTCCGCTACTGCTCCAGCTCCTGAGTCATATGTACACTTGGCAGTACAGCCATCGCTACGGACACTAGATCTCTGACAGGCAGCAAGCATGTCTGTTCGATCCATTCATGATACTAGAACTTATGGCGCGCCTCGTGGCGCCCTAGCGTTCGCTTTGAAAGAAGAAAATAACTAAGGAGAATTGTGGGAGCATATTTTAGTTGAGCTGATAGTGCAGGGTTTGTTTTAGAAGACAGGTTGACAATAAAATGCATATTGGAGCTATAACAGGCAGAGAAACATTAATCAATTGTTCACATATTCGGTAAGCATTGAAAGAATATAGTTGGAAAGACTAAGTGTCACAACATTTACATCATTTACACCGTTTATATTACATATAGTTCTTCTGAAGGTCTTCGTTCCAACATAGGCTAATACAACTTGAATTCTGAAGTTTGTGACCATCACAGAACCTGAAATCTTACATCTATGCGACGATAAAAAAAAATTGTTGAATTCTGCGAGATAAAATCAGCTAAGTGTAAATCCAGAAGCCATGAGAACTTATTATGCTTCATAGAGCACTTAACAGCATATATATACAGAAAGAAACTAAATGATCCTAGTAAACTAAATGATCAGCCAAGATACAGGTGTAGAGAAAGAAACATCCCTGCCATTTGCCCGGCTACCATATAGAAGTTCAATTCTTTAATGAACTATAAAATGTCATTGAAATTGGTAAACCACCTGTGATTTCTTCCTCCTGTCAATTAATTTATAGGGAAAGCCTGACAATAAACAAAATAAAAGGATGAGATAATCTAATTCGTGCACCAAATTCTTATGTCAGTTGATTTGTTATTGTGTTGGCAACTATGTAGCGATACCCGCACTATATTTAAAAACATGCATTTGTCAAGGAATTCAAAGAAAGCTTAAAGCTAACTGGCAATTCTCACATTTCCAAAGATTGATTAACCTCACTTGTCAACGCACAACACTAAAGCATTACTTCATATCAACCAACTACATGCTCTCCTTCTTGCTAGAATAGTTCATATGAAAATCACATATAATTTCTGCTAGGTTACTGTAGACGTGTTTGTTAGGATTGCACTTCATATCAATAAGTTAGATGGAGAAAGGAGTAAGTTTCTTTCAACCATCACACATAAAACATAATCTCATTTTAGGTTGATTCAATTGGATAAGCATACTTCACCATTATCTAGGTCACAAAGATTTGAATCTGGGAAACATACACCTATATTTATATAGACTGAATCGCTACCCTGATTTAGTTTGCAGGTGGTGTGATGGCAGCATCATTTTTTCACTAAATAAGAACATGATTAGATAGTATTGGAGTAATCACCAACAAACAGTGGAAAATGGAACTTTGCCAAACCCAGATCCAACAGTGCTAGAAAATTAGAATAGGAGTTTCCATCATTTGACAAAATTATAGAAGGGCACAAATTTTAATTGCTAGCTAGATAACCAAACAAAATAGCAAGGAATAAATGGTAGAATGATTGAGGACAGAAAACCTGAAGAGATCAAATAGTGTTGCTTGGACAACGAAGTGAATTCGTCAACCCAAAATCCAATATCTCCTGTTCTCTGCACAAACAGAGTTGCAAAATTTCCCTTATGCAGAACTTAGCACGCCACAACCAGTGTCTAACTCTCAAAGCTGCTCAACCAGGCTAGCACCTTGCGAGGTGGGTTTTAAAGCACAACCTAGTACTCAATGCAGCCATTTATTCATGAGATTGAATGAAATGACCAGCATAATTCCAAAGCACTTAGCAAGATAGCAGTTCAGTAGTGTCCAAAAATCAGGGATGAAATGATCCACTAAATGAAGTGGCGATTAATCCAAAGCACCTTACAGTCCAGTAAGGTCCAAGAAGTCCTAATAACAGTTCTGAAAGATAGCTTTTAGATAATGAGTTCTGAAACATAGTTGATCGCTTTAATAATGCAGATACTGCAACTTCAAATGTTGCCTATCAGAAAATGGTCGGTACCAAAAAATAAATTCAGTTGTGTACCTCCCGCGGCACAGCCGTGGTGCAGTCTTTGGTCAAATTAGAATGAATTATCAGGTTAGTCAAATCAATTCAAGAAAATTTATTCTAGAAAGGTTCATCCAGAAAATGGGCTTAGATAAGCGGTAAAATTTTCTATTCCAAAATTGCGTCAGAAAAGTTTGAAGATTAACAGACAGATATATGAGTAGGGAAAACCAAATCGAAGAGAAGGAAGGGTAAATACCTGCACGACTGCACAATGGACACCATATGCTCGCATCCATCGATCACTCTTATCGATCATGGCACGACTGCTCGGGAAGTGGCTCCTTCGCAGCCGCTGTGGCGGTCATCCCAAGCCTCCTCGCATTGCAAGCAGAACATGCGTGACAGTGTAGGAATACAGGGGAAAAGGAGATCTAGCAGCTTGGGCTCAAGAACTGATGGCTTACATGGGATTCTTCCTAATCAGCATTGGAGCTTAGCACTGATGGCTCATGCCCTTCCAATGGAAGCGCCGGCGGTCCATGGGTACCCGAGCTCGACGGTCGTAGGCGTCGCCGCCGCAAGTCCATGAACCGTCTCCCGCCTCCATCGCCACCCCAGCTAGGCTACCACCACCAACTACGGCGGCGCAATGGTAGAGTCACCTCCCCAGGTAGAGAGAAATAGGGGAAAAAGAGAAAACAATAAGAACGGAGGCGGCGACTGGTTCGTGAGTCTAGGAGGCGTGGGTTCTCTCTCCTCTGCTTGACTCGGAAGAGGGTGAAGGGGATAGGGGTGGGCAGGAGATGGGGGACGACGGGGAGAGCGCGAGGGGAAGCCGTCGGCGGCGAGGAGAAGTAGGGGGAGGGAAGACGATGCGGCGCCGTCGCGCAAGGGAGGGGAGAAAGCGAGAGAACGGTGGGGAACAGTGGCGGCTAGGGTTTCTGGGAAGGGAGGGGATAGGAGTGGTTTCTTTTGCATAAAACCCCCTTACTTTCTCTTTTTCAAAGCACGATCCTATATTTAGAATTTCACCTCCTTCACATAAATATAGCAGGACGTAGAGGGCCTTTACATAAAAATACACAACACACAGCCCATACGATGAGGACCTAACAGCTATTACCAAATAAATGGAGGACTTTTTTGCAAAAACGCCACTTCCAGCGCCGGGCGACGTGGACATCACAGGAAGCGAACACGCCAGCCAAAAAACCGCAGAATCGCTGTGGTGCGAGCATTCTGCGGTCCACTTTAATCTCTCCGATGGAGGACTTTTTTGCAAAAACGCCACTTCCAGCGCCGGGCGACGTGGACATCATAGGAAGCGAACACGCCAGCCAAAAAACCGCAGAATCGCTGTGGTGCGAGCATTCTGCGATCCTCTTTAATCTCTCCGATACCCACCCATGCACACACGCTTAATGCATCATTCAGAACTCACGTACAGAGTGTGTCTGGAGACGACCTCGGATTGGTCGATCTCGATCGGACCCCGCATTTAGGGCGTTTGTGAAAAGAAAATTTGGTGTCACATTGAATGTTTGACTGGATGTCGAAAGAGTTTTTCGAACACGAATAAAAAACTAATTTCATAACTCGCCTGTAAACCGCGAGACAAATCTTTTAAGCCTAATTAATCTATCATTAGCACATATGGCTAATCATAGACTAATTAGGCTTAAAAGATTCGTCTCGCAATTTCCCTCTAATTGTGCAATTAGTTTTTTTAATCTATATTTAATGCTCTATGCATATGTTTAAAGATTCGATGTGATGTTTTTGGGGAAAAAAAATTTAGAGAAGTAAACCAGGCCTTAATTACGCACGGCATTAAACTCTCCATCCTGCCATGTCGACAATTATTCGACGAGATCCATGGCCGCGCCGGCGTCGAACTCGCCGGACGACGACGACCAGCCAGTCTGCGTATGCATGATGCGCCCAATGAATGAATGAATCATGAATGCCACCGGCGGCAATGGCGCCGGTCACACGACATAACGCCTTTCCAACGAATCGATCAGATCAACCATATACATTTCTGTGCATTTACATGAAACATCTGTACTTGAATAGCTGCTGCAAATTGTTACTACCAACACCAGTTATTATAGGCCTCGTTCCATTGTTTTTGCCAGAAGGGCTTTGAATTTGCAGACGGACACATGGTGTGTTGTCAAACGAGCAAACGGCAAAAGAATTCACACTGTCCCAACACATAGTACAGAGCATTTGCTTCATTGTACAGTGGCGATACAAGCTGAATACCAGACATTTTTTTAGCCACCGGAAAATTTCGTCATTATATGTAGGCAGCCATCCGCTGCCGTGAGATTATTACAGATTTTTTTCCCCACAAGAATTAATTTACACACCAATCTGCTCAAATTTGATTCTGTAACATTTCGTATCATCATCATCACAAGATGAAAGCCTCATCTGCATCTGCATCTGCAACTGCAAAGCTGCAAGCCTAGCCTGCTCTCTTCAGGTAAGCCATCACGCCAAGGCCTGCAACAAGAGCTGCTCCTGCAGCCACAGCGCTGTAGGCTGAAGCCCACGCATCCTTTCCAGCGTACTCGAAGTCTGAAGTGCCACCACCGCCTCTCTTCCGGCGACCAACACCGGCGTAATCCAAGTGCAACTTCAAGCTCTGCAAGATGGGGTCAGAGATGAGCACCGTTTGGCTGGCAGGGGAGGGGAAAAGAACTACTATCTTAAACTGAAAGAGAATTACCTTCCAACCGATTTGCCTTGCATGGTCCACAGCAGCTACAAGGTCACTGTCCGATGAAAGTATGACCTTATCATGATCCTCATCTTCATACTGCCACATGGTGTAACGAAAGAAAAGGAAGCCTTAGAGAATTATCATACTTTCTTTTCGAGGAAGGGAGTTATCATACTGGTACTGCCTGTGTGGGTACATGTTGAGGAGGGAGCTGAGTCCTTACCAAAATTTGTGGTAGGTTTTTTCTATCGATGTCATCGCCAAGCCTCTGTAGAATGCTGGTTATCAACTCTGTCAAGCTGCTCGTTTCTGAAGTTTGAAGCATATCACACATGAAACCAAGGATACAATATAAATAATTAGAAATACAACAAAAGGAAGGGCAGAAAGAACATTGATAACACAATTCCCTGTTGGCATGAAACTAAGATGCATACCGCAGTTAAATCTGTGCATCCTGCCTTGTTTGTCTTGAATCTTGAACCCGAATGTGTTGGACAAACCAGAAGCCGGATAAAAAGCTGATCTTCCTACATCTGTTGCCTCAGACGCCACTTTAGTTGATCCTTCACTGATAATATGCCAAGTGAATTATAAATCATGACAGAACCATGCCATCAGATTATCAAAATGATAAGATATAAGCAAAGATACTAACCTTCTGGAGTCATCATCATCATCAAGAGGTCCAATGGACATTGCTGAATCCCAAAATCTCTGCATCATAGCTGATGTCGCCTCAGATCCAGATCCCGCGCTGTTTCCAACCTGCATACAGCATGATACTCAATCCATCTTAATAGAATGAAAGCAAAAGACATGTAATAATGACAGGTTCCACATCGTGATGCATTCTCTCAGCATTTTACAATGCATGCTGACAAAGTGAGTATTGTGTAAGACTGTATGCACAAGGACACAGAGAAAATATATCAAGCAGCTGGAACTTTTCACTTACAGTTGCAATTGCAGCATGGGTTATGTGAAGGACATCAACTACAGTTACAACATTTCCATCTGGATATAGACAACACATGTCAACAACTTAGTAGACCTCCAATAAATAAATTAGATATAATCCATTGCACTACATGGACATACCCTTGTCTAAGACAGGCAAATGTAAAAACTTTCCGTCGTGCATTGTATGGAGGGCATCAAGGATTGGAGTGTCAACCGTGGCACATTCAGGAGTCTGGGTCATGACCTGTAGAAAGGAGTTTCAAGCATGATGCCATGATAGTTAAAGAGATTAAGAAAAACATAGCAGACATTCCATGTTAAGACTTCCTTACCTTCTCAACAGTAGTAGATTCAGGTGGGAGATTCTGGGCTATAACACGCATCAAAATATCTCTAGAGCTGATGTAAGAAAGATAGCAGATGTTAGTTCAACAGTCAAAATGGTATAATTAAACTGAGAAGAGATACTCACGTCAGAATCCCCCCAGGCTTGTTTTCAATTGCTACAACCGCTGAACTTACTTTAACTTCAAGCATCTTTTTTGATGCCGTCAACACTGTGTCAGTTGGTGCAACAGTCACCACTCTAAGAAGTTTGTCAGCAATAAGTCAGTTGTTCAACAATGGCACTTAAATTCCTGAAATGCTGGAAAAGCCTAAAACTTGAAAAAGGAATGGATATTACCTACTTTGAATTCTCAGAAATAATGGTAGATAGTGATGGCCTAAACATCCGCTCTCGAAGAGTCTCAATAAAAGTATTAGGACCTGCAAAGTAAATGGAGAAAGTGTTAATAATGCATGCTAGAAAAAGCCTAAAACTTCAGGCAGTAAAGTTTATCATAGAAGTAACCAATACATGACAATATAAGAAGCAGGTGGAACATAACAGAATGTCTTTTTAAAACAGGCAGAATCAGGAGGAAAAGGACAATGTGATCAAGTACAGACCAGACACAGAAGCTCCCCAGTGCTTCTCTACACCCTCAACAGCAGCAGCAATGGCTTTTCCTTTCTCGGCTGCCCTTTCCATTCGCGCAATAGCATCATACAGGCACTTGGCTATGTCGAGCAGTGCAATGACTTCACCGTTCTCCACGACAGGTAAATGTCTGAACTTACCTGGAATGAAGTGATACATTCTCAGGAAAATCAAGAGAAGTGCAAACAAGGGACCAGAGATAGTGTTTGGGACTTCACCCACCTTGCACCATCTTCTGCAATGCCTCGACCGCGAGTGTGTCAGACAGAACAAAGAGAGGATTTCTTGTCATGACCTTTGAAACAGGTGTCTCTTCTAGCTTCAATTCGCGAGCAATTACTCTTGTGGTTATGTCCTGATTGGAGGTTAGCAAAAGAGTGAGAAATGAATAATTTTCCAATTCAACACCTATTGAGGACATACATCAAAGAAAATCCTCATCACCTTGTCAGTAAGGATCCCGCACAGCAAAGCATTGGAGTCGGTCAGCAACACAGCGTCCACCCTGCGTGCAGCCATCCTCCGACAAGCCTCGTAGACGGTTGTGTGATCCGGAATCGTCAGTGCCTTGGACAATCTTAACCTCTTCACGGTCCTCTCCCCGGTCATCGACCTGAGGCAAATACTCTTCAGTTGCAATGCTGCCCGCTAGCATTTCGGTTTTACTCACTTCGCATCAATGCACTATTAACCGGTTATGCATGTCATATTGAAGACAAGCTTGCTTGTAAATTGTAAATGAAGTTATCTGCGTTACCGAATTAAAATTCAACAAACTACTAGTAGCATTCATACATCATTATAACAGATTAATTGGATTTGTATTCTTCAGTTTTCTAGTTCGTAGTGCTACTGTGTCGTAATCTTTTTTGTTATTCCATCAGATCAAATCTAGCCTAGGTTGCAAACAAAGCGACACCAAATAAAAGTATCCCCCCTAAAAGGCCTAACTATCAACCCCAAGGCAACGCCTGAATCCCACGCTTCTCCGCCACCTACAGCATCTCCCAATCCAAGAGAAGTAATACTACCAAAAAAAAAAAAGAAAAACAGAAAGGGCGAGGCGGGGAGTCCGTACTGCTGCGAGGCGCGGGAGATGGAAGCGGAGGACCTCCTGCCGGCGGCGGCAGCGGCGGCGTCGTGGTGGCCGTTCTCCGTGGGCCCGGCCCTCCTCCTGGATCCGGTCGACGAGGACACGCTCCTCCGCGAGCTGTGCGCGCCTCCCACGCCGCCATCCATCTCCCACCCGCCGAAGGCAATCGACCGACCTCCGATCGATCGGCCCCCGCCGCCGTGATCCGGCGAGGTCGCTGCGGCGGCGGCGAGCGCTCCCCTCGATCCGGGAGCTCCGAGTAGATGGCGGAGGAGGCGACCGGAGGCTGCGGGCTCGCGGCTGAATTTTTTTTTTCCTTTTAGCCAATGGGGAATTTCCCTTTTTCTTTTCTTTTTTTTTCAGCTCGCTTTTTTGGATGAAAAAAGATGAATTAATTTGGAGCTTCCGTTTCGATGCGCGCAAAAAAGAATCGGATTCGGAGGCATCCGCTACGTGCACCCGAGGAAACGTACACGTGGGGTTCTGCCGGTGGGCCCCGATGGAGATGTGAGGTGGACGAGCAATGGGCGGGTGCCACGTGGCAGATGGGTAGTTTTGGACGGTATCCCCCTCTGCTAGTACACTGTTGGGTTCCTTTGCTTGTGTCGGAATCTTTTGGCGGTTGCCGTTGCTTTATTGCTCTGAGCAAGAATATTCCCTTACGTGCAGTTTAGCAAGATTTATTAGGATTGTTTTTTAGCCCTTGGAAATTTTTAGACGAATTTTACTAAATTTTTCAAAGTTCTCGTTAATTTATTGTGCAATAGTACATGTTAAAAAAGCAAGAGTTTTGTTTTTATTTTGTACTAGAATTTTTTGAAGAATTCTTCCGATTTTTCTCGTATGCCTAATGAGACTCGACCTCTCTATTCAGATAAGTAAGAGGGTTACAATCAATTTATTTTGGAATAAATTTTGAACTTAGAAATCGATGGAGGATGTATTATTCTATGTATAATGCTCGAGGTGGTGCCGGTCTAACTCAAACATAAGACGACAATAAATTCTACGGAGTACATAATATGGAATAAATTTGTCTAGCTTTAATTTGTTGCACTTGAAATATAGATGTTTACCAAAAGATATTGGCACCGTGCCGTGTAATTAGACTTTTGTTGCGTACAGTCAGGGCCGGCCTTGAGAGGGGGGGGGGGGGGGGCGAGCGGTGCGGCCGCTCTGGCCCCCAACTCGGAGGGGCCCCACCCCGCCCCCTGCCCTGCAGGCCTGTGTCTAGCGTGAACAGATCACAAAATAGAAACCGCCGCGTCGCTAGCCAGAGAGATTACGCCGCCGCCCACGTCTCCTCTAACCTCTCCTCACACGGGCGTGATCAATAGGCAATTCTAGGGCAGCCTGCATCGGCGAATCGTTGGCAGCAGGGGCGGAACTGGGCCTAGGGCAACTTGGGCCCGGGCCCTACTCGTGGAAAAAAATTAGTACCTATACCTTATGATTTTTCCATACATTCTTGGCCCAGCCCCACTCGTATGTAGGCCGGCCCTACACTCGGCCTTCCAAAAAAGGCCGACGTGCCTCCACTCTTCTTCTCCACCGAACAGCCCACGAAGCCAATTAGCCCACTAACCAGTGAAAACCCTAGCCATTGAATCGTTTCTCGGTCTCTCAGACTCTCTCCGACTCTCCCTGACTCCCTGCAAGCGGCACGGGCGCGGCGGCGCTGGGCGCTCGATAGGGCGGCGGCCGCGGGGCAGGGCGGCGCGAGGCGGCGTGCGGCGGCAGGGGCACAGCTGCGCGAGGCGGCGGCGGCGGGGCTACGCGAGGCGGCGTGCGGTACGGCGGTGGGGCGCAGCGGCGCGAGGCGGCAGCGGCGGGGCTACGCGAGGCGGCGTGCGGTGCGGCGGCGCGAGGCGGTGGCGACGGCTTGCGGGTGTGCAGCGCAGCGGCGGGGTCACAGGGGTACGGCTGCGCGAGGCGGCGGCGGCAGGCAGGCGTGCGGGCCGTGCGGCGGCGATGAACGGCGTGCGGCGTCGGCTTGCGGTTGTGCGGGAGTCAGGGAGTGGAAGGTCAGTATTTTTTTGTTGTCTTTCTTCTTCCTTTCTCACTTCTCAAATCTCAAACCTAGCTTTAGTACATCACATTACTCGGTTAGATTTGGTTTGAATTTGTAGACGAAGAGAAGTAGGACAAAAAAATCATTCTATGCGTCCGAAGAAAATCATTCAAAAAGCATGGTTCAAAAACATGGCAAGTTTTAGCCTTTAATTTAGGCCCTAGGCGTCCGAAGATCCTGGTTCCGCCACTGGTTGGCGGCAAGCCGCCATGCCATCGTCAACGCAATTCCGGCGCCAACCGCTGTTCCGCAGGACCACACGAGGTGCAGGCTGCAGCCGCTGCTTTCTTCTTGCTTCTGCTTGCCACCGTTCAGGTGAGTCCGTGAGTGCAACATGCCAACACCATTGCTAATTTGCTTGAAAAGATGAAAATTTGTAACAGTATGTCTCCATATGTAATCTCATAGGTTGGCTTTCGACGAAGCCGCATTAGTACGTGTTTTCGACTCAGTTACCGTTGTAGGATCGAGATGTCGACTAGAGGGGGGTGAATAGGCGATTTAAAACTAAATGACACATAATCAAAACTAACCTAAATTGCTAGACTTGGTGAGGGGCAACTCTAACTAAGCAACTAAGTTATGTTTTGCAAACCTAGGGTGATAGTGGCTCCATTATATCTCTAGGAAAGTAAATCACACTCCTATGTCAATATTTAGCAATCCTAGGGTGATATGATCTCAAGTTTGTCTCTAGAAATGTAAATTGCACAAATGTAAATGCGACAATCAAATGAGACAAGGAGACAAGAGATTTTTCACCGAGGTTCGGAAACTCGCCGATTTCCTACTCCTCGTTGAGGCGAGCCCAACTCCACCGCTCAACCACGAAGCCACCGCACGCCCCCTTCGTCAAGGGGTGGGCAAGGTGGGAGCCGGCCCACGGAGAGGACTACCCAAGCCTCGATCACTAGGGTAGTTCTTCCTTCACTCTGAAGGTGGTAAACTCCAAACCACTCACAAACCGGCGCCGGGCCTCCTCCACAATCTTCTCGGAGAGGTCACCGGGCAACTCCTCCACAAGCCGTCTAGGAGGCGGCAACCTCCAAGAGTAACAAGCAATGACCCGGCGTGGAGATGATCAATCAAGTGCCACACTAGCTCTACAAATGGAAGCAATGCACTTGACTCTTGGCTAATCAACCCTCTAACACACTAGATGGATGAACACAAAACTCAAGTGGGTGTGAGAGAGGTGCAAGGGGTGTATGCAATTGAATTGGGTGCCAAGAGAGCCCCCTTGCTGCTGGAGGGGGAGTATTTATACTCCCACCAACCAAAACTAGCCGTTGGGGGCGAAATCCCCCAACTCTGTGCTCTGCCGGTCTGACCGGAGGTTTGTGGCCGGTCAAACCGTGCTACTCTGCAACGGCTAGAAAACTAGCCGTTGTAGTGCTATCAGAGGGCCCCATCGGCCTGGCCGGTCAGACCGGAGTTGAGTGGGCGGTCAGACTGGCATCGGCTTGGTCAGACCGCCATCAGCTCGGTCTGACCGAATACGGCTCCGTCGGCTCTGTATTGGCCACCCCGAGCAGCACCATCCCGGCCTCTAGGGGGTCGGTCTGACCGTGCATGTGCCGCCGGTCAGACCACCGTTGTGGTGCCGGTCAGACCGGCCAGGGCACGCCGGTCAGACCGCTACTGTGGCACCGGTCTGACCGCCCCTGGTCAGGCCAAGCCCAGTGAAAGGCAAAATGATTTTGTGTGTGTGTGTGATGAAAAAGTGAGCACAAGTGAAAATGCAATGACCTAATGTGGCAATTTAATCATCTCTTTGCTATTACTAGGTCATTACCCCCCTTGATAGTACGGCGAAACTAACAAATAAACTAGCAAATTTGATCGCCCTTTACCTCGATCAATTTTAAAATTAAAACACTAGTTTTACCGTTTTCTTTTCTTCGCTTCGTGCCATCAAATTTTAATCCATCGATAATCATTCATGCGCACACATGACGTGGACCTAACTTAGAATATTATCTCAATAGCAACGGTTAGTCCACAATTAGCGCTTTTTAATTACCAAAATTAACAACGGGGGTCTAGATGCTTCAACCGTACGCATCTAGATGCTTGTGATCAACTAATTGGTAAGAATTTAAATTTAAATTTGTAATATTGTAGTGAAATTCATAAGTTAAACCTTTTATTTTTTCAATTATCAGGCCATTTCGTGGAGAAGAAATTGTTGGATGAAATTGATATTAATACTATTATCAATGACTTCGCATCTAGAAATGGCAGAAGAAAGTTTTAAGGTAATATGTACAATGTTTTCTACCTAAATATTATTTCTAAATTTTCTATGAAAATTACTCGTATATATAAAGCATACGTTTGTATTGATTATTATTATATAGTATGTTAAGGGCTCTGCACCGGGACCCTGAAAAGTCAGGACCGGCCCTGCATACTGTAGGTTGTTAGGCTATTAAGTGTAAATTGTCACGGAAACGTATTTATTGCGGTTGTGGAATCATGCACAAGTGTGCTAATCAAAATTTAAAATGTTGGAATAATACATCCATATTTATGCTTCAACATGAAACAATGATGTTACGTGGACTAATTTCTGGTCTCTGTGTTGAACATGTATCAAGAATACACACTCGAGAATCCGTTATCACTTCCATAATCTGCAAATATAAGCATTCGAAGCATTTAAAGTTTGTGGATAAATATAATAATTCCTAGAGAACCACAAGCCCCACCTCTCATTTATTTTTTTCCCCATCTTATCCTTAAACAGCCCTCATTTAATGAGAAGCATCAAAGTCCTCTATCCTTAAGGATTTTAAGCATTCAAACATATTTTATAAATTACGTTAGAAAATTATTTTAAAAATCAAGGTTCAAATGAAATGACCAGACTCTCCAGACGGTGGGTGTGAATTAGTTGCCTACTTGCGAAAATATGTTCTTAGACAAAGCATTTTTTTTTAAAAAAAAGCTTAATTCTTGAAAATGGATTGCCAAATCGAAATGTTTCTTATTATCAAAATCCTCCTGAAGCCAGCATGGAGCTGCTTTTGTGGATTGACAGATGTTTGAGATATGATGTTTTAAAACTTCATGTAATAGTTCTATATAAATTTTATATTTCATTTGTATATCAAGATCCAAACACACAATCCGCTCTAAATATCTAACTCTTCGAAAGAAACAGGATTGTGAAAAAAAAAAGCGCATTGCGCAATTTCTACAAGGCCTGGGCCTGTTGGGCTTCAAAAGTGCGGAGTCTGCTGGGTGTACTACTGTGTGTATGGGCCAAATATTTTGAAGTTCGATTTTGCTATATCTCACACGAAAGATTTTTTCTTATCTCTCACTCGATTTTCTCACTCAAATTTACAGTGCATTTTCTTGTAAGTTACAGTGTAATTTATGAAACTTACACTGTAACTTTTGTAAGTTACACTGTAATTTTTGAATCTTCGCATGTAAATTTTAAATTTTGTATTGGATTTGGTCTTTTTCTTGAGGATATGGTAATTTAGTGTCCATTATGGTGTTTCTTAATTGCTTTTTGCTTTTTATTATATCTATCGGATTTTAATCTAAAGATTAAAAATCTGTGTGATACGATCATAAAAATCTTTCGAAAGATGTATAGGTACTCCCATCACAAATAAAAGTTCGAAGCGTGTGTGCAACAAACTTTCATCATCTTTTGGCAACACACAAAAAGGAAAAGGTAAAATGCCAGCAGCATCGAACTCCGAAATTAACCAGCAGCCAGATTCGCGTGAATTGAGATCCAGTGCAGTTGCTATTGTGACTGTACAATAGCAACTGCACACAATCTCAGCCCTCTATTTGTTGATCCAATGGTCTAAACTGCATACAATCTCAGCCCTCTTATCGAGTGAACAAATCGTTCTTCGTCCCATCTATATTTTAAAGTTGCGTCCGCCGCTGTTCTGTAAATACACACAGACTGAAACAAACGGTAATTTTAATTTCTCTTCACCAAGAACTATACAAATATACGCATGCACATCCTGTTCCTGCTTAATGCTACTCGCAAGAACTGACCAAACAAGCAGGCAGAACGGGAAGAAGAAGAAGTTCAAGTAATTAAGTAATTAGGCGGCGTAAACGTGGACGCCGATGGCGACGACGAAGATGGTGAGGAGGCAGAAGAAGATGACGGCGTGGACGAGGATGGCGATGGCGCTGGTTGCCATGTTGCCGAACTCCACCACCCTCGCCCTCGCCGGCAGCTGGAACAGCAGCCCCGGCGACAGCACCACGAACAGGATCACCGCCACGATGATCGGCCCCCAGTCCGTGCTCGCCGCCGGCGGCGCCATAGACGATGCTCAGCCTCAATCGATCTCAACTAAAACCTACTCGATCTCGACCTCTGCTGGTGTATGTACAATGTATGCCTCGCTATAGCTGATCTCTGTATGATTATATCGCATGTACATTGGAATTGGGAATGCAGTATATGTGTGCAAGTTGATGCTGCATATGTAGGGGGGAGTGAGGTTGGAGCTTGCTTGGCCATGGCTGCATATGGCGGTGGAGAAGGAAGGAATGCATGCCATGCTTGTGTGCTAAGCAACGGAATATTGCCACCGGGCCAGACCGCCAGATGTTCGTGTGTCTCTTTTCTCCTTTTTTTTTTCTTTTCATCGTTTGCTTTACAGATTTAAAAGTGTTCAAGCTTCATTTTTCATTTTTTTTCTTCTTTGGTTAGAAAAAGAGAAAATCCTGGTATACTATATGATGATACTACCTTCGTTCACAAATACTTGCGGTTTCAGTACCGAGTGTAGATGATTTTAACTTTTGTTTATTTGAGCAACAACATGAGTTAACAATGTACTCTTGATTAAATTAAATGATACAACTTTAATGCTAAATAATTAGATTGTTCAATCAATAATTTTTAGTCAGTCTATAAATCCGACAATCATTTTCAAGCAGAGTGAGTAACAGTTTCCAGTATAATCTTTTTATTTGCATAATAATTGAGAGGACCTTTAGCTTCACCATTTTTTCTTTTATATTCATAGGTAGAAAAGCAACTGATTGTTATAACTGTTTAGGGTAGAAAAGGCACTACAAGGTATTCAACTCGGTGCTCTCCTTGGTGTCCGTGGTTTTTGTTGATGAAAAAATCGAATACACCGGCCTGAGAAATCTGCTTAGCTCCTGTGCAGGTTCTAAGATTAATGAGATGCGGGCGTGCCAGTCAGTTTAATCCTACAACTGACAAGATTTGCAAATAATAGATCAAACAGCCGATCGGCTAACAAGCCGATGGAGTAATTCCAGCCGATAGTCGATAATAGCCGATGCCGATACCAGCCGATAGCGATAGGGTTTAAGCAATCGGCTATATGTCTAAGGTAGATAATGATATAAATGCAATCGACTGATGATAATATAATATAGCAATATAATTCAGTAGAAACCTATCGGCTAACAATATGAAATAGTAGAACAAATATTAATCCGAAGGTTAAAGCACACATCGGCTGGAGGTCCGATGTCATAAGATCCACAAGATTAGATTAAACAGTGAAACCTTTGTTGCCATCGGCTAAATCCAACTTATATGTATATGCAATCCCTACAAGCCGATGCAACGTCCAGATAACTTATCGGCTAGCACCCCGATAAAACATTAGCATGAACCTATCGGCTTAACAAGACTTATATTATCAACAACAATCTAATAGATCGAACCTAACCGATGCAGCACGAGATTGTATATGATAATCTAATACTCGATGAGCCGATAGATCTGTCTAATGTGATGGATATAACAAATCTATTTAGAACAGCATTATGATTGTAGAGATATATCGGCTAAGACATGAGATCAGACCTAACCGAGACAGTCCCAACTAAACCGATGCGTCTCTAAACACAATGCAATTAGAGATAGAATTGAGATATCAGGTAGGCAAACATATCAACCAAACCAGAGCGATCCAAGAGATCGAATCGATGCAGCCTTGAACAACACCAATGTAGCCGACAGATTCACCAGGGCCTGACAGAACATAGGACTTACCCCTTCGCTGGAGATCGAAAGCCGATGCAGCCTTGCGTCAGGTGCCCAAGTTCCGCCGGAAGATAAGTAAAAACCTCAGGGAAGAGGGTGGCGATGCGCCAAGAGTATTATTGATCGATAGATTGATAGATTACAATGACCTCGGGTGTACATATTTATACCCATAGGGAGATACTAGTCCTTGTCGGACAAGAAAGAAACTAAAAAGGAAAAGATAAAGTCCTTATCGGACACTAAACACACTTTCCTAAAGATAAAAGGAAACTAACAAACTATGCCTAATTAATAGATAACTGTCATGTCGCATCCTTCTTGAACTCGAACTCTTCTAGATAAGCTTCCTTTGATTGATCCGACTCCACCAAGAACACGACATCGTGGCGACTTGACTCCCATCGGCTGTTTCTAGAACTTTGAAGCCGATATTGACTCTAAACCGATGGTAACTTTGGGCTTACCAAATTTCACTGTTAACACATGCCCCCCAGTTTTGGAGTATGAGAACTCATGCTTCAAAATTTATTGTCTTGATAACTCCAAAACCGATCTTCCTTTGCTTCGTGCAATCGGCTTTCATGAGCCGATATTGTTTGCATTAGATGAGCTAGACTGTCAAACTCATGGAAAAAGAATCTATCTCTGATAGGTGCTGATAATCCTTGGAATGCAAGATCCGCTAGCTGTTCATCGCTTAGGCTCAAACTATAACATCGGCTGCGGACATTACGGAATCTCTGAATATATTCCATAGCCGATTCTCCTTCTTGCGGCTCAACTGATATTAAGTCTGCAAGCTTCAACTCACTGACTCCAGCAAAGAAGTAGTCATGAAATTGCTTCTCAAGATCGGCCCATCCTTGGATAGAATTTGATGGTAGCGATGAAAACCATGTGAAAGCCGATCCAGTCAAGGATAATGGAAAAAAAAATCTAACTTTCAGAGCTTCTTCAGCCGATGCCTCCCCACATTGTGCTAAGAATCGGCTGATGTGTTCCATTGTAGATATATCATCTTGCCCTGAAAATTTAGAGAAGTCTGGAACCTTGTATTGGTATGGCAATGGAATCCTATCAAATCACTCAGGATATGGCAGCCGATACACAGAAGTATGTTCCTTAGGTTTGATTCCAAACTGCTCCTCTATTATCTTTGCAATTCTATCGGCCCAATCTTCTATATTCTGATATCTTTGAGATTCTTCTGGCCGATACTGTTGATATAGCTCATCATGCTGACATTGATGTGCCTGCCCCCCAAGCTGATGCTGTTGTTGTTCTTCAATCTGCCCCCCGAGCTGGCTTTTCTGACTAATTAACTCATCAACTGTTACCTTGATCAAATGTTGTAATGTATCTGCCACAACTCAGATTGATCAAACAATGCGCGATGAACTGCTTCATCAACTGTATCTGGAAGTATTTCAACTATCGGCTTGGGGAATCGAGTCTTCTGAGTTGGCCCTTCTGTTGTCTTGATGAAACATTGAAGACAACGCATTTGAAAATCAGCTACAAACTTCTCTATCTGTTGCCTTTGTTCCTCCGTTAAATTCTCCACTGTGACAATGATCTTGGCATTGACTTCTTCTTCAGACATGTGGATATAAAATTCGTGGTCCCACCGGGCGTGCCAATCTGTGTTGATGAAAAAATCGAACACACCGGCCTGAGAGATCTGCTTAGCTCCTGTGCAGGTCCAAAGATTAATGAGATGCGGGCGTGCCAGTCAGTTTAATCCTGCAACTGACAAGATTTGCAAATAATAGATCAAACAGCCGATCGGCTGACAAGCCGATGGAGTAGTTCCAGCCGATAGTCGATAATAGCCGATGCCAATACCAGCCGATAGCGATAGGGTTTAAGCAATCGGCTCTATGTCCAATGTAGATAATGATATAAAGTCAATCGGCTGATGATAATATAATATAGCAATATAATCCAGTAGAAACCTATCGGCTAACAATATGAAATAGTAGAACAAATATTGATCCGAAGGTTAAAGCACACATCGGCTGGAGGTCCAATGTCATAAGATCCATAAGATTAGATTAAACAGTGAAACCTTTGTTGCCATCGGCTAAATCCAACTTATATGTATATGCAATCCCTACAAGCCGATGCAACGTCCAGATAACTTATCGGCTAGCACCCCGATAAAACATTAGCATGAACCTATCGGCTTAACAAGACTTATATTATCAACAACAATCTAGTAGATCAAACCTAACCGATGCAGCACGAGATTATATATGATAATCTAATACTCGATGAGCCGATAGATCTGTCAAATGTGATGGATATAACAAATCTATTTAGAACAGCATTATGATTGTAGAGATATATCGGCTAAGACATGAGATCAGACCTAACCGAGACAGTCCCAACTAAACCGATGCGTCTCTAAACACAATGCAATTAGAGATAGAATTGAGATATCAGGGAGGCAAATATATCAACCAAACCAGAGCGATCCAAGAGATCGAATCGATGCAGCCTTGAACAACACCAACGTAGCCGACAGATTCACCAGGGCCTGACAGAACGTAGGACTTACCCCTTCGCTGGAGATCGAAAGCCGATGCAGCCCTGCGTCAGGTGCCCAAGTTCCACCGAAAGATAAGTAAAAACCTCAGGGAAGAGGGTGGCGATGCGCCGAGAGTATTATTGATCGATAGATTGATAGATTACAATGACCTCGGGTGTACATATTTATACCCATAGGGAGATACTAGTCCTTGTCGGACAAGAAAGAAACTAAAAAGGAAAAGATAAAGTCCTTATCGGACACTAAACACACTTTCCTAAAGATAAAAGGAAACTAACAAACTATACCTAATTAATAGATAATTGTCATGTCGCATCCTTCTTGAACTCAAACTCTTCTAGATAAGCTTCTTTTGATTGATCCGACTCCACCAAGAACACGACATCGTGGCGACTTGACTCCCATCGGCTGATTCTAGAACTTTGAAGCCGATACTGACTCTAAACCGATGATAACTTTGGGCTTACCAAATTTCACTGTTAACAGTTTTAGAGTTCATTAACTCGGAAGGTCGTCTGTGGTTTTCCGCGGGCATTGCTGCTTTTGGGGGTTCTTTGGGAGTGTAGTGTGACTCTGGCTCCACCACTCCACCCTCCCATTGTTTGGAGTAGCTTTTTTTTCCGCAGTAGCTTTCTCCTTCTTTAACCTAGCTACAGCTTTGGTTTTTTCTTTTTCTCCCTGTTAGAGTATATGGATAAGATCATATTGTATCTAGTTTGTTATGGTAGGATAGGATTAGTTTCCATCTCTATCTATCTAGGTTTACTTAAGATCCAATCAATGTACTCCTGTATATATCGGCTCCTGAGGCTCAATACAATATAAACAACGTTACGCAGTATATCTCTCATCTTGTGCTATCCAACTCTTTCCCTCTCTGGCATAGGCGTGTCTGGCCGATTACGTTGCTTTCGCGAAAAAAAGAGTAGAATAGGCTAAAAGGCAACGCGTTTAGGGGCGGCCGTTTTGCCTTTTGCCAGATGCTGCCTTTGCGTGCGAGCTCTCTGCAGGCAGGCAGACAGAAACCAGAGCTCAATGCTGCAAAGAAGAATCTGAGATTTACTTTGCCGTTTAGGTCACACGGAAAACATCGAAAACAAACCAGACAAAATTTACTAAAAAATTAAACTTCTGTTCAATTTTATTGAACATAGTTGCAGGGTCATTATCGTTACCGCGCCTAGCAATAAGCTTTGGTTACCTTAGTTCGATAATATGCAATTAGCTAGTGGCCATTGAACAGAATAGCCGTGTCCTATGGAGAAAAAGAAACAAAGAAGAAAACAAATACTAGTAGCAGTTGTAAATTTGTACAGGGCTATCTAGTACACGTCACCTGATACGGATATACGACACTTGCATTGACAATTTATTCAATAGGACTACTTAAAAAAAAGAGTGAGACATCATGTACAATAGCAAAGCTATCAGCTAGCTATAAACAATAGAGGAGAGAGAAGCAGCAGGCTACAGATTTATAGCCAGTTGTAATACGAACTTTAAGACACAATGTGTATGACAAGTAGGACCATATATTAATAGTGTAGTATGTAATTATTGTATGATTTAGCTATTAAATTGACTATAGATAATTTGAAGCCAGTAGTTGGCTGTACTATTAAACTTGCTCTCACAGAAACGAAGGTCTCCCGTCAATCGAAAACGACCAATTAAACTATCTCCCGATCGCTTTTGACACGCAAGCACCACTCCTTGCGCCACATGCTGGTTGCTCAAATCCAGTGAACAAGCTCAATCACTTGCATCGCTTTCAGGCACAAACGCGCAGGATTGTCGTGCGGATCGATCGGTGTCTCGCCACTAGCAGACACGCGCGAGTAGTCACCGTAGCAAAGTCGCATCGCAGTGCTACTGCTCATGACGCCAACGTCTCACCGTGCAGCCTCGCGATCACCATACTTATCAAGAAAAATTGGAGATTCAGAGTCAAGAGATTGAGGCCATTGGAGAGGAGAAACTCGCAAATCTACACTCCTTTTAAATATCTTAATTGTGATGATGAGCGATAAATCTGTCACCACCTATCACTAGTGTCAAAAAATGAGGTAGGTAAACTTTTATACCTTCTCTAATCGTAAGCTGACATGCATGAAAATTTTCTTTTCAAGTGAGGTATAAAATAAATAATATGATCTACTTCGATTCATTAACATTAATATAAATATGGAAAAATGTTATAATGGCTTACATTATGAAACCGAGGAAGTACGAGGATAATTTTATTTTAATTTTTACGGTTTTAAAGTATAAAAAGTAACAGATGCTGTATAATGTTTGACGTTAACAAAGTGAACATTTTTTCCTTACGATTTGCGGATCAAGAAGCAAAACGTTGTGTGATTAATACATGAACGTGTTTGTGAGAAACTATCCGGATGAAAGAACAATTCTCTTTTTTTTTCATCCTTTTGGACGCATCATGCAACGAACAAAGAAGCAGAGCATCTCAATAATTCAGAGGACAACAACAACAAAAAGAGGATGCGTTTTTCTTTTTACAAAGGGATCACCAACCAATTAAAGGCTAATGATCAATCTCCTAAGCTACCACTAATACAGGCTTATTATCCGAAGAAGCGTGGCTCACCGGAGAAGAGGCGGCGGCGGCGGCCTTGCCGAAGACGCCGGAGGAGAGGGTGGAGACGGCGGCGGAGAGGCCGAACAGCAGCGCGACGCCGGCGACCCACGGCATGAGGAGGAGCCCGATCGCGAACGTCACCGACCCGCACAGCATCAGCGCCACCGACGCGCCGAGCAGCATCGTCGCCGCCGCCGCGGGCGACATCCCCGGAGACCTCGCCGCCGCCGCGGTGGAGGAGGAGGAGGAGGGGGAGATGATGGCGGCGAGCAGCGCGCACAGCTCCCGGATGAGCCGCGAGTAGTGCTCCCCGTCGCCGCAAGTGGCGGCCGCCTCCTTGTACATCGTGGACACCATGGTCAACCTCTGAATCGAATCATTGAGCTCTCGAGCAGCGAAGCGAGGAGGAGGAGGAATCAATGGCGGGGTGGAAGGGGAAGAAGAACGGGTCGTCGTCGACGATTTATAGGGCCCACGGCGCAGTGACCGACGCGCGGGCCCCACCACGACACGCACCGATTTTGTCACGTCAAACCACGCAGACGTGTGGGGCGCACCGTGCTCTGGGACCCACTTGTCAGTGGCGGCTGTAGGTCGCCGTTACGTACGGTTAGGTGGACGGGGTGAGGCGTTTCTGTTCCGGATAGGGCAAGGAAGAGAGAGAACGGAACGAATTTATATCTCTATTATAAAAATCGAAGGTGTTTTTACGGTATTTTAGTACATCATCTATATTTGAGTTATTTTTTAAATTCGTTTGCTTTTAAAAATATAAAAAAAGTTGTATAAGAAATCTCTTTAAAAAAACTCACATACTAACTTGAGATAAAAGTCGGACTTCTAATTGTAGTTTATAATTTTCTAAAAAAGAAATATCTAAGCGAATTCTCAAAGTCGTATAACAATAATATGATTAAAATATCATTCCGATGTAGCGCATGGTTTTTTTAGTTTATATAAAAATTGAAAAAAAAATAGGAATTAAAAAAAATGGGGAAAAGGTGATACACGCGACGCGTCTCGGTCTCTCGGATTAGTGTTAGACCGATCGCTATCCTGCGCCGAGTCATGGCCGCATCGTATTCGTTGATGGGTGTTATCCCTTTTCCGACATGTGGGGCCCGCGGGTCAGGGGGAGGTTTTGTGGCTGGGATGATTCGGGGTGGGGGTGACGTGGCGGCACGGGGGTGTGGGGCCGGCGCGGCGGTCGTTGTGGCTGTGGTGGCCGCCATCACCGCCGTGCGGGACCAAGAAAAGGATAGCGCGAAAAGGGGAAAGAAGGGAGAAAAGCGTAGAGCGAGGTGACGTGGGGGTGACGGCGAAGGTACGGGGAGGTGGACCGGGCCCCACGCCCCTGCGCTTTTCTAGTCTCTTCATTTTAATTTTGAGAAGAATAAGGGCATCAATTTGCTATGGTAATTTTTTTGGCAAAAGTTTTGGTGGTAAAAGATTTGGCATTAAAGTTTTGCTAGTTGGTGTTTACCAGTAAAGACAGAGAGAGCACGGCACCTAACGCATTTTTTGACAAAATATGCTACTTTAGACTCCTAAATGATAAATGCTAAATTGCTACTAATATTTAGATCCATTTTGGTGAAAAGTGCTCCAAAACAACAAAATTTTTGCTATTTTAGAGGAACTAAACAGGGCCTAAGTTTGTTGGTGATATGGGCCCGGGGATATCAGGTTTAGAGGAAGGAGGCTGCCCCCCGATGCCACGTGGCCCTCCCCCGAGGGGAGTCAGGCCCGAGGTAGGACGGCGGCCACTCCTTCCCAGAGACTGGATGGAGGAGGCTGCCCTCTAATGCCACGTGGCCCTCCCCCGAGGGGGGTCGGGTCCGAGGTAGGGCGGCGGCCACTCCCTAGCCGAGACTAGAGGGTCTGTGACCGGTCGAATGACCGATGGGACTGGCTAGTGCGCCTGTGCACTACTCGTGTGTCAGGCGGCGTGCAGCCTGACATGTCCCATCAAATAGTGATGGTGAGAGATTCTCATCCTCTTATCCCAGCCGGAGTCGGTCCTCCCGCTCTGGTCAAAGCAAGGCTCCCATTTCTCGGTGTAATAGGAGCCCAGAAGTCTTCACCCATTAAATGGTGAATGACAGGGGCACCCCCCGTGTCAGGCGGCAAGATTTGACATGCCCTATCATCAAGACGACGTGTGCTTGGCTTCCCAAGTCAAGAGACAAGACATGCATTTAATGCAAAGATTATAATACTTCTCCACCGGAGCAGGTTAGGTTGTTGGGCCCATGTGGTAACCCCTTGAGGTATAAAAGGAGGTCCAAGCCTAGTGGTGGAGGGGGGGGGACTTCCGAGCGAACGGGCGCTTGAGTCTCGCAACCCCAAACACTTGTGTTCTCCACTCAATCAATCAAGCACAGGAGTAGGGTATTACGCTTCTCAGCGGTCCGAACCTGTATAAATCCCTTTTGTCCCATCGTCTTTGGGGGATTGAACCCCCTCAAGATCACACAGCTCTGCTCACCAAGCCCTCGAATCTCACCTGCTGCCCCCGGCCGAACTCACAAAGGGGGGCCTCACGGTTCCCTGGTGGAGGAGTTCATTCTCCGACAAAGTTAATTAACTTTAAGTTTACATGCTCTAACCACGGTATCAAAAATGTTGAGCCCTTATGTTTTATAAAGCCGAGTTAAATATGATCATACAATATGAATGTTTGTCTTGGGTGATGTGACATCCTAGTTAGCAAATAAATAAATAACATGCGGAGTTCATACATAAACGGCTTCCACCTCTCCTCACTCTTCCCCCATCTCCACCTCTCTAATCTCTTCCCAAGAGCTCGCCGACGAGGAGAGTGGTGGCAGTTAATTAGCAAGCCTATCTATGGAAGACGGTAGCCACAGTGGCTAGTGGGAGATCGGCAAAGAGGGAACGTCGGTGGTTTGCGGTGACTCACATTGCCATGCAAGCCGCGCTGGTCCGTCTCCTCGGCCCTGCTATTGATGTAAAAACACGAGGCCTGGGAGATCTGTTTAACTCCAGTGCAGGTCCAAAACTTGTCTTTGGGTGTGTGAGCGTGCCAGTTGATTTAATCATGCAATCAATAAGAAACAAAGACAAAGAAACCGTGGTTAAATCCATAAACGATAGCCGATCGGCTAGTCGCCGATGACATATCATTTATCTTTGAGCCGATATCATGTATGCATTGATCGACAGCCATTACTAAGTAAGAAAGAACTAAATCTACTCGATCAGCTGTAGATATTAACAATATATAATCCTTATATCGATATATACTTAAATCAAGTGATTGGGATATATCGGTCACCATGCAGAGACAGTATAAATCACTTAGATCGAAATATATACTAATAATGAGACTATATATGTTTATAGCATAGCTGATCAAATAGATTTAGCATGTATCGGCTAGTACTCCGATACCACTCTATATTAAGATATTAAAGCAAGTATAATATACCAAACAGAAGCCTAATATACTTAAATGCAACAAGATCTTAACATAAAGGGGAGATTTAACATGTCAACTAAGCACATAAGATAAATATAGTCAAATCAGATAAGATCGGCTGAAACCCCGATGCTACCCTAATTGGCAACCAAAGGCAGGCTAGAGATTGAGATTCTAATCACGATTCATAAGATCAAACTCAACTGATGTAGCTATAAGTATGAAAAGAAGGACAATATCAAGACAATCAAGTCGTTGGATGTTTCATAGGGTGGTGGATATCGTATATAATCTAAGTCAACATCGGTATTTAACCTAATCGGCTGCCTTCTACTGATAGATGTTAGCCGATTGTAGGTTAGATAGCGATATTTGCCGGAGATTATATAAGATATATGATAACTCGACGAATTACATAAACAAGATTAGAGTATCATGGAGATGGAAGCACTAATCATGAGAACGCAAGCCGCCATAACAAGTTTTACCTATTGTTGAAGATCGAAACCGATACAGCTCAACCCGAAAGCAAGAACTCGTCGATACAAAACGAAAGTAAAAAATGGTGGCGATGCGCCGAGATTGTATTGAACGTGTGTTAATTTGATTACATGGGGCTCGGAGTCTATTTATACCCGAGAATTACAAAATACGTCCATATCAGACACGACTCTTATCTCTAACAAACTCTAATATACCACAAGTCTTTGCGGCAGACTTTTGCGCAAACATATCTCTAAGGAAATTACATAAAATATCATAATTAATAGATACTATTGCCTTCTAAGGACTCTATCCATGCATGGCAATCATCATGAAGTACGTCAACCTAACCCGACAACGTATGCCATGTCATATTGTCGGATTCGGCTCAATCGGCTAACCCTGTCCGACTCGAACTCTGTCGATCCTAGTCGCAGCCGATTCGGACTTCAGCCGATCCTTACTCTGTTTCCGGGACGATCTCTATCTCGAACTCCGTCTCGATTCCTTCTTCATCTCCGATCCTTGGATTACCAAATTCGGTCGTTAACACCTGCCTGCCATCTCCACGTGCAGTTGGCATCCATGGACCACCGTGCCTAACCCCGCGCATGTGGCCACCACCATCATCGCCGATTTGCACAGATGCCCACGGGAACTCACAGCGGGAGTCCAAGTCCTGCGGCGCCAAATCTCCGCGGAGCACTAGGGCAATGCGGCGCGCTGCTACCTCGCCATAGCCGAGAGGCCCCGATAGTGGATTAATGGGACTGGCTCATCACCATTGCGCAGGCGCTAGTGCGTAGTGAGGAAGAAGTTAGGAAGTTGAATTGCGCCGTCCTCCGCCCGTGCAGTGGTGACACATAGGACACCGCACTTCTAGGCAGCCCCATGGACGGGAGCTCAAGCTGTTCACCGCTCCATCATCAATCCTAGTCTTCTCTATCGACACTATGCTGGCACCAATCCTATATGTTGCCGTCACCTCCGAGCCTGGACTTATAGATGGATGAGCAGATTCGATAATGTTGTGGTCTCGCTTCCGCCGCTCCTCTTTCACCTAGCCTCCCGCTGCTCCTACTCCACGCCCACCTTCGCTCCCCCCTCCGCCCGACCTCTTCCTCCTAGCCTTGCTCCCACCGCTTCTCCTCTGACTAGCTTTGCTCCTGCCGCTCCTTCCCACGATGCTCCTCGCTCACCTCCCCCTCCTCGCCCTTCTCACGGACGCAGTCGACAGAGGGATAAGAAGGAAGTGTTGTTTCACTTATATGTGGGCCCCATATAGTTTTTTATTTTTGCTTTGGTACCACGTTAGCACCACTTCAGCCAAAACCACCTCTAATACCGTCTTGGGACTACATTGCACCGGTTTTAAAAGATAAGGGACACGATATATATGGTATTGCGGTTGAAGGACACTTTTTGAACCGACGACAAGATAAGGGAATTAAAGTGAACTTATTTCTTTTGAGATAGGATCTCTGGTTCTGCAAGGGAAAGTGGGCTGGGCTGAGTCGAGGCCCATCTTTCAAAAAAGCCTTATTTTGAAAGGGCCGAATTCTCGTCCCACTGTTGTTTCTGGGCTGGTATCGTAGTTTAGTTTTTCAAGCACATGGACGTATATGGCCGGACTCGAAAGCTGGAAACGAAACCTTATGAAAGAAAATGTGTCAGAGAAATATATCTTTAGAAATCCCATCAAAAGGTTTATTCCAGCAAATTACAAAACCAGCTTTTTGAGCAAATACACCAAAAATATATAGCGATGTGGTCATGTGAACATGGTTTAAAACGGCACAACATGATCTATACAGAAAGGCAAATGAATAAATAAAAAAGAACTAGTAATTAGATACCGCTTACAATAAAAAATAAAAAGGAAACATACAATGTCTTATCTCTATGATATGTATCCCTGTACAAACCAAACCATCACATATTACCTTGGTATGCTCACACCAAATTTAACTGCAAATTTATATCAATAGTACTAGTAAAGAGTGGTCGGGGCGGCCGCCATAGCGGAAGCAAGGTATTCCCCGCTACTGCGACGATGTTGCGCTTTCAGATACCATGTGCAAAACATGGTCATGGACGAATTGCCCACCATTTGGTACGTAAAAAGGTACTCCAATCCGTCCTAAAATATAGCAATCTTGTTCAGATTCGTTGTACTGGGATATAACCAATCATAATCACTCACCATTCAACTTTCTTACCTATCTGCACTTCTTAATCAAGCATAGCTTTTTTCAGTTTAGTTCTAGAACATTTTGAACGGAGGTAATACTACTCCACATTTTATTTTTGTTTGTGTCAACATGAGTAGTCGTGTGGCGACTGGCGAGTCGGCAGGGAAGAACCAACCGGAGTAGTAGTAGTAGTGGTACCGCGGTTTGCCGCTTGGGTTGCGACAGGTGTCGACGCGGGCGCGTGGCCAAAAGCCGCGGCCCCGCGCCACCCGTCGCACCCCGGCCGCGACACTCCATTCCGATCTCTTTCTCCTCGCGCCCTCGATCTGCGTCTTCTTCCATTCCCCTCTCCCTCTGCCCCCCTCATCGTTGAGCTTCTTCTTCTTCTTCTTCTTCTTGCAGCATTTTTGTTGGATTTTTTGTTGAGGGAGGGAGAGGGAATGCGGCGGCGGGTTGGGCTGCATGGTCGTCCAACGTGTCGACGGGTGGCGGCCGCGTGTCCGCGAGTGGGGTGATGCGTCAACACGTCGTGGGGCGAGGACAGGTCAACCCAGCAATGCCGCATTGCCACCTAGACCGACGCCGTACGGCCGCTCGATCCGCCTCCGCTCTTTGTTTAATGCGGCTCTCCACGAAGACGAGGCGGCAGAGGGAGGGCGATGCGCGCCGCCATTGCCGCCGGAGAAAGGTCGCCGCCGCCTGCCGTTTTATCTTCTCCGAGCGGCTCGCCGGCCATCCCTGGGGGGAGCGGATGGGAGGGGACGGCCGCAATGCTGGCTCGGATCTCCACGCGCCGCCTATAAGGTAAGCGAACCTACCCGCCTAGCTAGCGCTGCCAATATAAACCATCAAGCTAGGCGACCACATTTGCTGTCTCTCAGTTTTTCTCTCCCTCACCAACTGCTGCTCCCTTCATCTTTGCCTAGCAACTACTCCCTTCATCTTAATTTTTTCCCGCTCATAGAACATCGCTCTGTCTCGTGCGAGACGTCCAACAAAAAAAAACGTTGCTACGATAGGATTTGATCCACCCCATGATTCGTTGTTCTAGCATACCATCCTAAGTTTCCCATCCTACTTTGTCGGTCTAAAAAACAATTTAGGATGAAATAAAATAAAATATATAGTACAACAAATCTCATCATACTTTCTCTATCTAAAAAACAATTTAGGATGAGATGAGATACAATCTAGTACAACGAATCTGAGGTTATAACATTGTGGAACGGAGGAAGCACTAGTGTGTCGCCGACATTGCTCTTCATCGAGTCCATTTCCAAGGTCAGGAACAAGAACAACCATCCATACAAAACCACCCCTCTTCTACTCTGTGCTAATCATATGCGACGCACATTCGTGCATCAAATTCATATTTGTTTTTTCCACCCTGCACATGCACAGGAAGAGGGATATGGATGCAGCTCTTCTACTTTGTTATTGTTGTTATTGTTACCTCCCTTATGGGCCAGGCCCTCGCATATACGCAGATTCGTTCACCAGGCGGCCGGCCCCGGCCCAACAATCACTTTTACCTGATCCAACAAATCAGGACATGGGGAAACATCAGCACAGGTATCACTTGTACTCCAGTTTGTACTAGTACTGCTATCTTTATATTACACATAATAAAAGAAGCTATATGGATCTTACACAATTACACCAACATGATATAATTACGATTATGAATACTCCCGACGCAGGCACAACTTATAATTATTTAAAAATAAGATTGTATAAGCATCCACTCACTCACACTTACAGATACAGCAACGTAACCATCTATCAGTTATTTTCAGTTCCTCGTCAGATTGTTCACTGCCAGATTCGAATAAACAACACACATAGACATAAGGGTCCCTAGACATAATAAGGACAGATTGTATCACGCGTAATAATCAGATCTGGCAAACAGCAAACCACAGTTCCTACAGAATCAAACAGATTCATACCAATAGGTTGAAACAAACTCCATACACAAGTCAGTGCAATTATCAGGCTTTCAGTATCATGGTCAGATGACACATCAAGCAACACAACCAGTCAAACACAGGTAGCACACATATCAAACATTGCTAAAACACCACAGCATAGGTCTTCATTACAAGAACCTGAATACTTCCCCATCCTTTTATTCCATCTCCCCCCCTTGATCTAACAAGCAGAGCCAGAGGCCATGGCAACTCTTTTCTCTACCTGGGATCAATCAGTGGGAGAAACTGGCAGCAAACAGAGCATGCACCATTTTCTCTTTTTTTTATTAGCTTTTTAATTTGGGAGGTGCATGCACTGCCAAACTTATGCACAGGACACCTGTGCTTCCTGCTCATGCACTTCCTTCCTCCTGCCCCCTAGAGCCACTGGAGTTTGCTCTGCTCCTACTCCCTTCACCATTTTGTTTTGCCAACATCTGCAATCCAAAACAAGGAAAGGTAAACGGACAAATAACAGGGACAAAAAAAAACCACATTTAGGAATTATCAACATCTTCAGGTAACTGACAGACATGTTCTGTTATCATGAACTGAACATTTTAGTTGTCATTTCAGGTAGCTGACAATATTGCAAAACTATCAGGACTGAATCCATGGGTGCCAATCATTATATCCCTGTTCTGTTACTAGGCTTACTAAAACGGCAGAACGGAGAGGTGGGCCGGTTTCACGGCCTTCAGTTGAAGTATTCAAAAAAGAAAAACATCACAAGAAGCTTGATTAGAGTACAACCAGAAAATATCAGTTATTTTTGACATCAACAGTTTATGCAATAGTATTGCCCGCATACAGAGTTTTCTCGCAGCGCTTTTGAATGAAGCACACCAATCTCAGCATCGATGATAGATCTCCCAGTTCATTTCAATTGATTATATGATATCCACGAATATAGTTATCTGTGCTTAAGGACGACTACATAGTAGTTATATAATATATCCTGGTGTGTCACACTGAAAAATCTGAAATTATCAAGACAGCCACATGCAAGGAGAGATGCTGCCACTTTTTGAGCACCCATTTTCTCAAGACAGCCACATTGGTATTTCTTTGAATCCCTTTTCTCTGGCTGACTAAAAATATGCTACATGAACTCCACACCACTGGTCCACTGGATATTTGCAATATAATACCAATAGGAAAAACAGAATCTGTAAACCATCAGAACTAATGTCTAGCTCCAGGAAAAATGTGATGCTGAACCAGCTACCAAAATAATCACATCTTCTACTCCTAGCCTTTTTTCTAAACCAGGTTGAAATATTTGGTGGAAACAGTGACATTACAATGTACCTTCTTTGATTTCGTATCCCTCAAAGCATTTGTCAGCAGTTTCTCCAGTTTCTCTAGCTGATTAGCATCCGACTCGTCAGCATTGTTTTGGAGAGACCTGCAGGTTGGCTAGAATGCTCAGATTTCTGTTGAGCAAAGTCAATAAAGATTTGGGACGTGTAGTCAAAACTCATATGAGTGTTACCAGGCCGTTATGTCCCTAAGCCTGGAGTGTATACTTGCATTTTCATCCTGGTACAGAATCAAAATACCTGTCAGGGGTATATATACGAGAGCAGGCAAAGCCATACAATTTGGTCATCTTGGATGCAAAATGTACCCCTAGTCTAATTTAGATGGTTCTCCAGATATAAACATAAGCATTTCTTTGTATGTAACACCTCTCCTTTCCCCGCAAAAAAAAAAACACCTCTCCTTTAATTTAATATATTAACTGCGGGGCCTTCCTGAAGTAGTTTTAGTTCAAAAAAAAAAACACTCTTGCTTTAATTTTACCAATCCTGTGCAACATGCAGCCACACATTCAATCCTTATAATAATGGGAAGTTGAAGTTGGTTGCAAAAACAACAAAAAGATCAAACCTGGCGGCAACACGCTATAAATCTATGGACAGATTAAAAAAAGGTTTCACGGGGATTTTACACTGTTGATGCTTGTACTTCCTTCGTTCAGGTCTCTCCTGGCTCCAGCGAATTGCTGATAGCGATCATAGGTACCTTCAATGCTGAAAAAGAAAACAAGGCAGGTAAGAGTTAGATAAAATATCCTCCTAGGCAGTCGATATGATTCAACTTCAAGGCTTTGGCTAAATACCAAAAGGAACTATAAACAATGGGGACAATAAAAATGCTGAGTTCATGCCGTCTTCTCCTATAATTCACTAAGAGTTAGATTTATGATCAAAATGAAATATTTACAAAGAGCTCTATTGTGTTTATGCTCAATCTTTTGAATCTCTGATTTAAACTGCATGTTTATGGTTATTCCAGAAACAAAAAGCTCTAAATTAGTAATAGAACGCCTTAAATCCTTTAGTGCACTTATTTTTGGTGCCAAAATTCAGAAATCAAGACAATGCATATTTTTATGAACTAGTTTCACCTATAGTACACTGAACTAATATAAAATTGTCAGAACTTTTGTTCTGGCAACGACAAACTAGACCAATGATTTTTCATATTAAAAAAACATACTAATGGATTTCATTTCAAGAAATCACCATTTTAGGTTTCCACTGTAGGATCATTTTCTATGTAAAAGGTGATAGATTTCACCTTCTATACAAAACTATGATACTAGTGTTGGATCAACTCCTACGCAAACACTTGATCAACATGTTGGCCATATGATTGCCAATAAGTATGTTGACATATTGAGACTTTATAAGTAGGGCAGTTAATAAGGCCATAGTCAAGAGGAATTGAGATAATTCATTGGATGCCCCTCATATGGATGAATATTGTGGTCTTAGGGAGATAAATGTATAGCAACCAAGATATAGTGGCCCCTCTAGGGTAGAGGATATATGTGTTACCAATATAAATCACCTTTTTTTTGTTACTTTTTTGTTTTTAAAATAAAATTTGTTAAAATCAAGTTTAGATGCATGTCCTCATATATACATGATTGGGAACATGATTTGTTGACTATGAGATACATGGTCTTTACAATCTTATATTTTTAGGTGTACAAATAGTATCTATGATTTGGTATGAATAATTTTCTTTTGTCCCGTTAGAGTATATAGAGAATTAATAATTCACAATGATTTACATTTGGGAATTATAAACTCCAGTAATGTTTCTTTAACCGAATTTCTACAAGGAATGTGGTACCAACTAACCAAGTACCACAACTAACCAAGTAAGATCATCAAGGCCACTAACCACGATCCTAGGATGACTAGAGCCATGACTCCAATGACAATAAATATATAGCTAAGTCCAAGATGAGCCAAATTACCAAGATATCAACTAAGCCTAGAGCAATGAGACATCGAAGGAAATGGCAAACAACCCAAATGATAACTCCAACCATATCCTTCCTACATAAGTTTAGAGCAAAATGTGGTGAATGAAATGGCAAACCACTCGAACAAAAACTTTACCCTTTGTTCATGCAAGGTCTTGCAATGATATGCCAAAGGAAATTTCAAACAACTCGAAACAATAACTTTACCCATCCTTCCTACAAAGTTTAGAGCAAAATACGCTAAAGGAAATGGCAAACAACTCAAATATAAACTTTACGCATTCTTCATGCAAGGTCTAGAGTAATGATATGCCAAAGGAAATTTCAAACAACTCAATCAATAACTTTACCCATATCCTTCATAAAGTGCATACTTTTGATCCACTAGAGGAATATAATTATTTTACACTTCAACACCATGAGTCCTTGGTGCATCTTGATAGCATGTTTTAGTTATTATTATCAATAACTTTACCCATATCCTTCATAAAGTGCATACTTTTGATGATTATCACTCAAGTAGGGCAAATAGTAATGAAAATACTTCTAAGAACCATTATGTTACTAGAATTGTAGCTTATTCTTTTTATTTTATTTTAGCTAAATTTGAGTGCTACTTGCATCTCACTACCATTTGTGAATAGCATATTGTGAAGTTCAACAAGTAGTCATAGTAGTATGTTTTGCTTTGGTGTGTTGAACTTCTATACAATATGTATTAACTCTTTCGATTTTGAATTTATAGATTAAACATGCACTTAATTCAATTTTCTTTTCAATGTTCCTTATGTTTTCAAAAGCCTAGTAATACTAAAAATGGAAATAATATCCTGACATATTCCTTTTATGCACTTTTTTTAAAGGAACACAACATGGGAGGCCCCCCACTGTTAAAAAACTATATTGATAATAAAAAGAAACATAAATGATTACAACAACCTAATCCAGTTTAAGACTACATCTTTATCACCCTCACTCAATCTAAACAACAAAACAACAAAAGGAGATCACCCTTAAGGGATTGTCTCCAAGAAACCAAGGAAGGAAAAATATTTTCAAAGATGAAACCATTCCTTTGCTTTTAAATATTCCAAGCCCCAATAAAAAATTTCTCCATAAAACACCGGTCATGATATGTGCGCCCAACCTCCACCATCGTATTATCAAAAGCCACCTTTTATGCACTTTTAATTCCTAGATTACGCTATTATGTTCTAACTTGATTTTGTATATTTTCATGACTAGTATAACCTATTTTTTTTGTTGTGAGACCAACTATGACACATTTGAATCGGTTTCCGTAATGGAGAAGGTTTTAACCATTAAATATGTGTCATATTTGTTCCATGTACCCTCTATTAGTATAATAAATATGAACTAGTTTTACATAACAAATCTAAAACATAATTTGAAGGTGATGAGGTTAAGCATGTTAAATATGACCCAATTTCTTAGAAGTACCAACATGAACCTCTATTAATATAACAAATATAAACATCTAGTATGTAAATAGCTCAAAGTAATATCAATAGTGTGATTGAAACTTTGATTTGAATGAGGCTATGTAGGAGTTGCTATTTTAAAATATTCTGAAGGCACTAGTTGAGAGCAGTTTGCATAGGAAGCTTCGAAGTGCTTTTTTTCTACATTTTTCATGATATTAGAACATAGATATATAATTTGTTTTGACCAATAATGTGAACACAAGTGAGTTTTCAATTTGGATTTTATGGCACAAATGATTTAGCATGTCAATTCTTGACAGCGAAATATCGGTCCTTAGTCTAATTTCATATCATTGTCATCGACCTTTTTCATAAAACCTAAAGGTAAATTACATACATGTCATAGAAATTTAAGAACTATCATGAAGATAAACATGCAAAATGTAAGTAGTACAATGTATAAGATTAGGAGATGTTGACTAATTTAGAAAATAACAACTACTATATAGAATTGAAAGCTATGTTGATCATGGGAACTTATCCATCTTAATTCAAAGTCAGAGTTTTTGCAAAATTTAAGAAACGCCAGTTAAAAAAGGTTCTTGGATGAGACTTCCATGATAATGAATTGTGAATATGTTGTTTTGGAACATGAGGTACAATCTTTATTTCTTTTCATTAAACGAGTACCTCATCATGAGTATGCATAAGAGCACCAATCCTAGGACAAATATATCTAGAAATGTAAACAAAACAATAAGGCACCAACTCCGCAAAAAAGATCAAACACAACTATTAATAAAACATAGCTAAAACAATACAAGGACGGATATTCAAAAAGTCAACTTAAAAAGTTAAGAACTAATGATTATATTGTTAACCAAGTTTCATCTAAGTACCAATGATAATATTGTTGCAAAATACAAGTTTACAAAAGAGAGTAGGGTTTGAATGAATCCAAATAGTTATGTATAAGACAATCACATGAATATAATAATGATGAAACATAAGTTTTTATATAAATTATTTTCAGTATGATGGCCACCCCATGTAGTAAATTTCCTACAAAATCTTGTCGATGCACCAAGTTGCACTTGTTCAAAAGCTAAATCAGTCAGCAGATCCTTCTCTATTTCCACGAAGATCAGAGCATGAAGTCAATATGATGAAATATTTACCCAAGTTGAATTTTCCGATGAACATTTTTTGACCCAATTTAGCTTGAAACTGTCAAATTGTATCAAACCATAACATGATGATAATAAAATGTGAGCACCGAATTCAGCATAGTTGGTAACAAACTAAAGTATGTATTGTGGAAATAGGATATATGAGTATACTTCAATTCATGCATATTTAAATAATAGAACATGATAAATATCAAAACACACATATTTAGCAACACAGGGAAATCAATGCAAAACATGATGTTTATGTTTAAAACACAGCAAAGGAGATAAGCACAAGAATGACATTGCTATAAGAAATACAAAAGAACCCAAAAAATAAAGTACTAGTGTAAAGCAAACCAACAAGTTACACAGTGAAAAAAAAGGTATTTTAATAGATTCCTTAGTCAACCATTCTTTATCTTCATACCAATTTGAGATAACATCTATTTCCTTGTGAGCATTTATTTGTCCAATGAAAAAATTGTTTTGGATGTTAATAAAGTTTTAACTAACATCATTATAACGTGAATGTTATGTTAAAAGTGTTACATATTTCGCAGTATTGTTAATTAGAATTCACGAATCCTATGGATACTCACATCAAGGTTATAATAGATGATCTAATGCAAGTATAAAATAATTCCCAACCATATTAGCATTTCTTTGAATGGTAAAATGTCTACATTACAACGGAGTTTCAGTTCTTAAAAAAATATATGATGGAATAAGGTTTTAGAAAAAAAAAGGTATTGTTGGACAATCTAAATTTATTTCTTCTATATAAAATGACTAGTGGTGGCTCTAGTGTGCCACCTCTTTAATGAATGATTTGTATATCTTGTCACATAGTTTGGCTATTTTTAAATTGTGGTTTGTTTAGAATTTAAATAGACTTCAAAATTACTGTGCACCTTTTGAGATTCATTGCAATGCATGGATGTTCTCTTATTTGCACATTTAAATATTTATTTCAATTAATATATGAGTAGCGAAAGTATAAACAATTTGGACTAACATGTCTCTATTAACAATCTTTCATGTTATCATTTAGATTTCGTGTCCCAAGTGGACTTTTGAGATTCCATATATTTATGATAGTCATTTGTAAATTAATCATGTAATTATCATGTCTACCTAGTGAGGATATGTTTCGTTGATAATATGCCCCCAAACACCTCATACCTACAATTCAAAAAGTGTAATTCGAGGGTCATTATATAAGTTTGCATGCCCCAAAATTCAACCAATATGTTGATAACAATGTGGCTAAAAGCACAGTATGGAACTACGCAAGGGATTACTCAAAAACTCATTAGGAAGTTGGCATATGACTTTTTCTTATGTGAAAGTTCTATCGAATTAAGATTATCTTTGTTTGCATTTAAAATTTGATAATGAAATAGTTCATTTCATCATTGGATAAGAAAATGGGCAAGTTTTATATTTGTTAGGAGCTTTCTAATATTATCGTAATCATGGCAAACCAAACATTGTATAGGTTAACACATGTAATTACAATGTTGTTCTAGTGAAAAATAACATACGTTTTTATTGTCATTGTTATACCAGTTTTTGGCACCAATTAAAACTTGTATACAATTAACTTATTGAACATGTGTTATAATAACTCAAAGAAACTATTTAGGCTGAGTTCTTATCTCTACTTTCCCAATTCATCTCTCTCGTTTTTCGCGCACACGCTTTTCAAACTGCTAAACAGCGTGTTTTTTTGCAAAAAAATTTCTATATAAAAGTTACTTTAAAAATCATATTAATCCATTTTTAAAATTTATTTTAGCTAATACTTAATTAATCATGTGCTAAACGATGCTTCGTTTTGCATGCTAGGGACTCACTCCCGAACACAACCTCAGTATCTTCGTAATATTATTAATGCCTCTGCAAACAAGATTTAACCTTTGTAACAACAAGAGCAATGTTGGACATGCTAAAAAGTTCATGCAAAATTCTTAAAAACAAATTTCTTAACTGTTTGATCTAATTAGTCCAAAGTTATAGAAAATCAATATTAAATCACAATATCTTACATCATCGTTTGTAAAACATTTGTAAGAATTTTTGTTTTGGAAGTGTAGCACTTCTCTAATGGCAATATAGTTACATTAAAAAATGTTTAATGTATTTGTTTGTCCTACTTAAATAAGGAGTGATTACACTCTGGATAATAAAAAAATTACAGGTGGGTACATTGATTGCAAAAACTTGAAAGTTTACTATGTCGGTGTGGTAATTTGGTAGCGGGTTTAATTCATTCATTTCAACAACTAGCTAAATGTGACTTGGCTATGTGTGTGTTCTTGAACAAACCAGGTGCCATGTGCGTTTTTGGCTAAATCAAGGGGTTCCATACTTTTTTTTTTTGGAAAACTACTAATTTTTTTTGTCCTTGATGTTTTGGACAATATCATCTATATCTATTTATGTGTTGTTACTTTTTTTCAATGTAACTACAATTTTAGTTTAATAATGGTATTCCATGCCAAACAATGTCCTTAATATGGCTAGATCATGACCTCCAGTACAATACTTTTTTTCAATGTAACTACAATTTTAGTTTAATAATGGTATTCCATGCCAAACAATGTCCTTAATATGGCTAGATCATGACCTCCAGTACAATAATAATGCATACTCTCTCCGTATTCATGTTGGACATGCTAAAAAGTTCATGCAAAATTCTTAAAAACAAATTTCTTAACTGTTTGATCTAATTAGTCCAAAGTTATAGAAAATCAATATTAAATCACAATATCTTACATCATCGTTTGTAAAACATTTGTAAGAATTTTTGTTTTGGAAGTGTAGCACTTCTCTAATGGCAATATAGTTACATTAAAAAATGTTTAATGTATTTGTTTGTCCTACTTAAATAAGGAGTGATTACACTCTGGATAATAAAAAAATTACAGGTGGGTACATTGATTGCAAAAACTTGAAAGTTTACTATGTCGGTGTGGTAATTTGGTAGCGGGTTTAATTCATTCATTTCAACAACTAGCTAAATGTGACTTGGCTATGTGTGTGTTCTTGAACAAACCAGGTGCCATGTGCGTTTTTGGCTAAATCAAGGGGTTCCATACTTTTTTTTTTTGGAAAACTACTAATTTTTTTTGTCCTTGATGTTTTGGACAATATCATCTATATCTATTTATGTGTTGTTACTTTTTTTCAATGTAACTACAATTTTAGTTTAATAATGGTATTCCATGCCAAACAATGTCCTTAATATGGCTAGATCATGACCTCCAGTACAATACTTTTTTTCAATGTAACTACAATTTTAGTTTAATAATGGTATTCCATGCCAAACAATGTCCTTAATATGGCTAGATCATGACCTCCAGTACAATAATAATGCATACTCTCTCCGTATTCATGTTGGACATGCTAAAAAGTTCATGCAAAATTCTTAAAAACAAATTTCTTAACTGTTTGATCTAATTAGTCCAAAGTTATAGAAAATCAATATTAAATCACAATATCTTACATCATCGTTTGTAAAACATTTGTAAGAATTTTTGTTTTGGAAGTGTAGCACTTCTCTAATGGCAATATAGTTACATTAAAAAATGTTTAATGTATTTGTTTGTCCTACTTAAATAAGGAGTGATTACACTCTGGATAATAAAAAAATTACAGGTGGGTACATTGATTGCAAAAACTTGAAAGTTTACTATGTCGGTGTGGTAATTTGGTAGCGGGTTTAATTCATTCATTTCAACAACTAGCTAAATGTGACTTGGCTATGTGTGTGTTCTTGAACAAACCAGGTGCCATGTGCGTTTTTGGCTAAATCAAGGGGTTCCATACTTTTTTTTTTTGGAAAACTACTAATTTTTTTTGTCCTTGATGTTTTGGACAATATCATCTATATCTATTTATGTGTTGTTACTTTTTTTCAATGTAACTACAATTTTAGTTTAATAATAGTATTCCATGCCAAACAATGTCCTTAATATGGCTAGATCATGACCTCCAGTACAATACTTTTTTTCAATGTAACTACAATTTTAGTTTAATAATGGTATTCCATGCCAAACAATGTCCTTAATATGGCTAGATCATGACCTCCAGTACAATAATAATGCATACTCTCTCCGTATTCATAAAGGAAGTCGTTTAGAACTATAATTTTAACAATGCATACTCTCTCTTTTACTTTAAATTACTTTTTGCAAAATTTGTAAGGAAGTTTCACGCAATCAATGTGTCTAATGGAAAAAAAAAGGAGATCATGTCCAAGAATGCACCTACGAACTAAGTAATCAATCAGATCAATACACTTATTTTTAAAGTTGTTATACTCAAGTGCATCCTCATTGGCATCGTTGTCTAGTTTTTTACACCAACAACGCAATACACTCCAATATCTTTTTGACAATTATTTCTAAGAAATTTTGGTCAAATTTTTTTTTTTGAAGATAATCTCATTTGCGATACTTGTAATATTTGCTCTTTTTTTTTGTATTACTCCATATAGCATTTCATGGAAATTCAAACTAAACAAGGACATAATGGCATTATATGGATAGTACGATAGGCACTTAATGTTGAGTGCTCGCGAAATAGATATACATTATACCAAAATAGTTCTAGGACAAATGACATATAGGTATTTGATCGACGTGATCGTACACTAAGGTGCTCCTCGTCAGTTGTTGGAATGACGTGAACCGGGTCGGGCCAGACCTCGATTCCTTTCATAAAGACTTTCATAGAGATGAAGAGATAAAGGTGACTAGTTCCCCATCTCATTTGGGACGGAAAACAAATCGACATTTGATGTGATACAACCCTTTCCATTTTTGTTGGGAAAGAACGACGAAGTTCATCCAAAACCTCCAATGAAGAAATAAGAGATCAAAGTGCCAATGACATACGAAGCGCATGCGGAAGGGCACAGAGAAATAAAGAAGTGTAAAAGAGAAGTAGTTGAGCTCATTCCCTTCGCTTCATGGGCCCAAAGCGATGATAGAATAAGGCTAGAATAAGTGGTAGAAAGAAAAAAATAATATGTTTATCTCTAATGATCCGCGTGGGGCAATTGGTAAATAAATCTTACATCTAAGAACCACAACACCACACGTTGGTCCACGATGTAAGTGAAGGTGTGGACACATGTTTGGCCTAGGGATGGCAATTGTGCCCGTTTGCCCGTTTACTCGTGGGTAAAAACCCTATTAGGGTTGGGTTTGTTCTCCATTTTATACCCATGGGTTTCTTATTAGGTCAAAAGCTATGTCGAAGGGTAAATGGGCATGGTATGGGTAATCACTACCCATGCCCGCTTTACCCATTTACCCGCGAAATCTAACTTACATGTAGGCTAGGAGTAAAATCCACTAGAATACATAAGCCTCTTTCTTTGTTTTCTACGGTTTCCGTTTTATTTCCCTTATTATTTCTCTCCCCCTTCCTCTATCGCCGCCTAAGGAGAGACACCACACCGAGGCAGAGAATATTTGATGTTTTAAGTTCGATTCGAACTTAGAAGCTTGTAGACTTTTTGTTCCACTGATTTTGCTGTGGCGGGTAAACGGGCACGCCCGCAGGCATAAGGCGCCTGCGGGCGATGGGCATGGGCAACAATCCTTGACCGTCATGTAGTAACAGGCATACCCACGGGCACAAATAATCTCACGGGCACGGGTATGGGTAGGCACTACCCGTGCCCGTCGCGCCCGATTGCCATCCCTAGTTTGGCCGATAGTGTGGTGATGGTAGAATAAGTCTGGGTGGAGTCTTAACAGGTAGGTATCAACATATAAAATACATGCGTTCTAACCATAGAATTTTTGGGTTAACCATTTTACATATCGTGTGGATTAAAGTGTATGTAGAATTCTGAATGTACAGGAGTTTGCTTTTCCTAAAATTTAGAATAATGCGGGTATTAAAGCTAGGGTATAACATGGTATTAGAGTACAAACCTTCATTACATGACAATTTTTTATTATTTAGACCTTTTTTAAAAATAATTTTAATAATAGACCACGCCAAAACTTATTTTCAAAAATAAACCTTTTGGCCACGCCACATATATGGCATGGCAAAGAATACTGCCACGTCACCGGTCCTGGCGTGGCAACATGTTCCACCGTGGCGGTCGTCGTTCGGACTTGGTGGAGAGGTAGCCCACGTGGTAACTGCCATGCCAGGCT